GCTTCTGTAGCAGGACCCCCGAATTGCCCTCACACCCCCAGTTTAGGCCAGAGCAGCGGGCGCCTGCGAGTCTTCTAGTCCCTCACACCCACGTGTAATCACATTATACGCCCTTGGGGACCTCCTTCAGGATCTTCCCCCCAAGTCTGGCGCTTCTCACCAGGTCCACTCGTGGTCTCAGCCACTGACCATCAGCAGCCTCATCTGCTGCAGCCCCCGGTCCTCGTGCTGCCTTCCTGCAGCCCATGCAGCCAGTGTGATCCTGAAGGTGAACCCCATGTCATTATCTCTCTTCTGAGAACCTCCTTGTGGTTTCCCATCCCAATTAGATTCCAGAAGCTCACTTCCACTGCCCCCCAGTCTGCTCTTCCTGTTCCTGAAATGTGCTAAGTGGGATCTGACCACAGGGCCTTTGCATGGGCTCCTCCTTGGACTTAAACACTATCCTCTCAGGTCAGACCTCCCCTGGCTGTGCTGATGGTCTTCCTCAATTCATGTCCTTCTCACAGGGTTTTATGTTGTCTTGGCCATTCTCAGAGTCTGAGCTTACTTTGTTTCTCATCTGGTTTCCTTTATAGCCTCACTTGAAGCAGCAGGAGGGCAGGACTGGTCTGTCATGGATACTGTGGGGCCTCCAGCCCCTAGACTCCTCTGTCCTGCGAGGACGTATTTAGTAATGGTGGCTGGATGGACACACGCAGTAATACCTTGAAGAGGAGCGGGAATAAGGCTGTTTCTGGGCCTCCTCCCTGGCGTTCAGAGGGAGGCGGAAAGTCGGACGCTCGTTATCTCTCTGGTTGTAATTAAGATTTTTTTTTTTAAATTATTTGAGTCAAAGTAATACATTTTGAAGTCATGTAAACCCTCCTCAGCAGTGGGACAGGAGGCAGGGAATGTGGCTTAGGCCCGGGTGGGAGAGAGGGGAGGGTTTCGGGGTTGGGGGGGGCCGCTCTGTCTGGTACAGGCAGTGCTCCTGGAGCTTTAGAGCAGGGGTCTGGCGGGGCAGGGAGCGAGTGGTGCAGCTGACCCTCCAGCAGGAGGCACTGCCTGAGAGAGTGGCTGTGCCGGGAGGAGGCAGGGATCCAGATCTGGACCCGAGCGAATTGTTTATCAGACGTCCCAGTGCGGGTGTGGAGTGGGCGGTTAATGTGCAAGGCAGCCCAGAGCTGGAGGTAGGAATTCTGGAATCCTCAAGCACACAGAGGGTTTAAAGCCATCAAACTCACTAGGAACATCCGCGGGGGGCATGGGGAGGACCGTCTGCAGGACCTGGATTTGGACGGGTGAGATGGTTTAGTCCAGGCCCCAGGGCCACCGGGCACACTCTAGCCTCCCGGCTTCTTGTGTAAGTCAGGTGGGTTGGTTCCACGGCTCTCGGTGAAGCCGTTTCCGTGCTCAGGGCACACGCATGCTGTTGGTCTTCCCCGGACTGGCTCTCAGACTGGCTCATGTGGAAGGGCTTGCTCACCAGCCCCACCCCCCGAGCCCTTTCAACGCCAGGGTTCTCTTCTGGGAGTCAAATGTATATGAGATGAAGAGCACGTAAAGTATCAGTAAATTGACTCTGATTTTTGCGGGAAGCCAGTTGAATAGAAGGGCTTTGGGAGGGAATTAGGTGTATTGCTCTGCCCCCCTGCCCCCCGTTAGGACGCCCTGTCCATCTCTGAGCAGCTGCAGTCTGGGAAGGAGGGGCTCCCGCACGTGCCTTACGCCCTGAAGCAGCTGGATTTGTTTTCTGCCAGCTGTGTCTGCCCTTAGGAGATGTAGGTGCCCGTGGAAACTTCGCTCTTGGATTCACGGAGTAGGCATTTGTGGCTCCCCTGATGTTGACCAGGCCGTCCACATCCAACTTCCTGTAACGCCCACCCGCCTCCCAGAAATTCAGCCTAGGTGTGGAGAGCAGCGAGCCTGGCGAGGTGTGTGATGTCCCTGAAGCCTGGTGCAGGGAGAGCGGCTGTGGCCGTTCGGGACTCCACGCCCCGCCATGACGACACGACCGGGAGCCTAAGGGAGCGCGGTCTTGGAGCACCAGGCCTCTGCTGCCCTGCCTGTGGTGTGGTCCAGCGATTCTCAGAACTGGGTGTTGGTGACTGTCTCTGAGTTGGGGGGGAAGGCACGTGTACAAAAAACCCACGTGCTCTGACGGCCGTTTTCAGGGGTCTGTAGCGTCGTCGAGCCCTGGTCTTCCAAAAGCCTCTGTATCATCTAGTGAGGCCGCGTGTGCCGTAAACAGAGCATCTGGGAAGGCTCCCGGCCCAGCTGTCAGCTGGCCGCACTCACGAAATGCCGGGCGAGTGCCTGCCGTGTGCCAGGGCTGTGCCCGCTGCCTGCCACTAAGCTTCAGATGTGGAGCCCTTGCATCTCACAGTGCCCCCTGGAGTCGGCCTGGGGGGGTGGGAGGGGGCCGTGTCCCATGGAGGACACTGTGGGATGTCCCAGTGTCCGAGGGGAGGGAGCGAGGCACTCTTCTCGGGAGTGGGATCCAGCGGTGGTGGGACAGGCGAGGCTCGTGTGTCGGGCTGCGGGTCACCGGGTCACCATCACCGTCACACCCCAGCCCCCGGAGCTGGGGGAAAAGGACAGAAAGGACCCTCTCCCTGAGGTGTTCCCTGACAATCCTCAAAGTGAGGATCCAGCTGAAAGGGGACCCATTACACCTGTGTGGTACCTGCATCCCGCGCCAGAAGGCCTGCTGGCTAGCGAGCCACCCCGCGTCTCACTAGGCGGTGGTGTGGGCTGGCTGGCAGCATTACTTTTAGGTAAACGGAGATCGTCAAGCTCCTGTCTGCCTTTGCCGTGATGAAGACTGCTGGAAGGCTCACTACACGGCTCTCAAGAGGGTAGAGACTGGCTGCGTGGGTGGCTGGGGACACCGGCTCAGCGGGACCCCCAGCTCTGGTCCCCTGCGGGCCAGGCCAGGGCGCAGCAGGTTTGGGCGTGCTCTCATCTTCCCACCTCTTTGTGAGCTCGGAGGTGCTCTTAGAGCTTCCGCTTTATCTCAGCCAGCATCTTCCCGGGTTCTGAGCGTGGGTCCCTGAGGGAGTCTGCCGGCTTGCCAGGCGCAGTGTTTAACCCTGGTTAAATTTAACATGATGGATGGTTCAGGAAAGTCCTATGGACTGATGGCTAGCCTGCGTGTGAGTACTTCCAAAGGCCTGATGCTCAGTTCTGAAAACCATTTGCTGATTTCTGTTAACACGAAGAATGCCTAACCCACACCGGTTGTCAGAACTGGTAAACTCTTCTATTTTTATGCGTTCACATGGCTCATTGGTTGTGGCTGTGACTTAAAACGTACTTTGGCTTGCTTTCGGGCAGGAGGCTGACTGTCCCAGATAAGAACGGAGTGTCTGTCCTTCCACTGAGATGTGACACTCTGGACTCGTTGGTAACAGGGGTCCCGTCCCCTCTCCCGGAGACCCTGGGCTGCATACGGGTGTTCTCCGAGGCAGGTCAGGGTTATGCTCTGTTCTCGCCGATGCCATGTTGTCTCCTCTGTGGGGTGGCTCTGCCTGGGGGCTGAGAAGAAGGACCCCGGTAGCATGACTGCCTGAAGGCGAGTGGGTAGGAGCTCTAATTGCATTCTTGTAAGGACAGCGTATCTGACAGAGGCGTAAGCTTGTGTGCAAACGCCTGGCTTGGTTAGGAAAAGCTTCCACTGGAACCGCTGCGTCCCTCTGTCCATCTGATGAACACCACGTGCTCCGTGCTGGGTTACAGAGTGACCGTGCCTTTCCAGCCGTCCCTGCTGCCCCTGCCTCCGGCCGGCAGTCTTAGATGGGCCCCACCCTCCCGCAGGGATCACGCCCACTGGATCCCGGACCACGTGTCTGACTGAAAGCTCAGGGTTTCGTTGTAAATGTGTAACCATGGTTGGTGTGTGACATCGAGAGAGGACAGCAAGCTCAGAACTCACGCACAGCTAACAGAGCGCGTCACGGTGGGTGGCCCTGCAGCCTGATCACCTGTGCATTGTTCCGGCCTTGGGGGGGAAGGCAGGGGCCGAGCTGTCCAAGGTGCGGTCTGCTGCTGTTTCCCTGCAGAGTACCCGTCACTGGGAACGGGGGTCGAAGCGTCTGCTGTTGATAAATGCTCTTATTAAAAGTGAATTCATTGAAAATCAAAATAAAATTATTTTTAAGGGGTTTTTTTTGTTTTGTTTTTTTGGAGAGGGATTGAGAGTACGAGAGAACACAAGCAGGGGTAGCGGCAGGCAGAGGGAGAAGCAGACTTGCCACTGAGCAGGGAGCCTTGATCTCAGGACCCTGGGATCATGACCTGAACCAAAGGCAGATGTTAAACAACTGAGCCACCCGGGCACCCTCAAAATTAAATCTCTAATTGGAAAGATCTTTTCACCGTTCTGCAATGAAAAGGAAATTAAATCTTGGTGTAGTTGGAACCATTTGCATATCTGTAACAGGATTAGAAATAAAATTCTTAATTAGATCATTGAATCTTCTGTGATTTAGTTCATTTTTGAAAAAAAATTTTCCCAAAAAAAAGATGAATAAGCTGATAGGACTTTTAATTATTGAAACAATAGGCTGCTTCCCTACAGATATTTGCACATGTGCCCAGAATACGTAGGAAACTGTCATGCGTCGCTGTCTGTGATGGCAGGTGCCCAGCGACCTGTGTCCGTGGGCTGTGGTAGGCCCACTGCTGTGCATCGGGGGGGGGGGCATGTATGGTCACAAGCACAGATGGCGTCACAGACATGGGAGGGAAGCACGACTCCCCCGGAATAACCAAGAAAGGAGCCCAGCGCTCAGCCGCATGAGCTCATTGGCCTGGTCGGCACCTGCTGCTGGAGGGGTGCTTCTCGTCGGCACGTTCACTGCCCCTTCGCTGTCTCGTGTCCCCGGGCGTGTGTCCCAGCGTTGCCTGCTTCCTCCAAATCACGTGTTCCCTGGGCTGCCTGCCTTGTAGTAGAATAAATTCTAGAAAACGGTGTGGTTGCTGACGGCTGGAGTGACATGGCACCTGTCTTCCCGCAGCGACCGTGGCCGCCATGTACTACAGCTACTACATGCTGCCTGATGGTACCTACTGCCTGGCGCCACCCCCGCCGGGGGTCGACGTGGCCACTTACTACAGCACCCTGCCTGCCGGGGTGGCCGTGCCCAGCTCCACCGGGGTGACGACCACCGCCCCGCCACCCCCCGGGACCACGCCCCCGCCCCCCCCAACCACAGCAGAGACGAGTAGCGGGGTGACCTCCACCATCACCACAAGGTAGGCCCACTTCTGCCTGTCGCCTGGCATTTCTGGGCTCTTGGTTTGGGGTCTTCAACCTGGGTCTCTTGTAGGGTCTCTGTTGCCTGAGGGTTTAAGTGTCCAAATACCAGAGTTACGGAGTTGATAGTGCAGCGGAAATCATCGTGACGTAAACACTTAGAAAATTGACTCCCAGTGACCCCCACATCACCCCCAACTCTCACATCCTCAGCACCCCACCGCCCCCCATAACTTCTGGGTCCTTAACACCCATGCCGCCCTGACCCCCCACAGCTGGCCTTTCTGATGTTACCATCTCAACTGGGCAGAACTTCATAAAGTCAGGCAGAAGGGACACTGCGGTTATGTGCGAGAAATACAGGATTTTATAAAGTTGACGGAAGTGACTCCCACAAGCCGTAGGCAGGTGGGTGCTGGCGGCCGGGCCAGCTGGGCATTGAGCAAAAGCAGAGTGGACCAGGGACTGGGCCCCCGCACCTGTCTTACACCAGCGTCCGGGGTCTGCAGAATGGGGGAGCCCGCTGTGGACGCTGTGTCAGGGGCCCAGGTGCCTGTGGTTGAAATTGGACCAAACACTCGGGTGTTTCTGCAAGGACTTCCCTTCTGACCATGCTGAGAAAGGGGGCACCAACGGGTGTGTTGAAGTGCATGTCCTCTGTTTTAACGTGAAAAAGACTCCGTGCGTGACTTACTCTTGGTTGCTTCTAAGAGTTGGCTTATCATTGCAGGGAAACATTAGGGGCAAAAATGAACCTGTTTTCGTGATTTTAAGTCTTATTTTCCACAAAACCCCATTTTTATCATTGGCAAATGATACTTCAGTCTCTTTTCAAGGAACTGACTTTGTGGTTGAAGTTGTGCTCAGAGCCTCCATGTGTGTGAGTGTGTGTGTGTGTGTGTGTGTGCAGATGTGTCTCCGGACGCTGAGAGCCCCCCACACCGCACTGGTTGGCCAGCTGGTGGTCTCAGGGGGGTCCCTGCACATGAGTGTGACGAAGCTCTTTTCTGCAGTGCACTTGCCCCCGTGGCGGCCATCATCCCCCCGCCCCCTGACATTCAGCCCGTGATCGACAAGCTGGCAGAGTATGTGGCTCGCAACGGCCTCAAGTTTGAGACCAGCGTTCGTGCCAAGAACGACCAGAGGTGAGGGCCGGAGCGCGGGGGCAGATGCAGGCGCGCGGCGTCTCACGTAGCTTGTTTTTAGTCTAGCTACATGAATCCTTTCTTTAATGTTTTAATCCTCACGTGTTTACATAAATATGTCTTAAAATTACCTTGCTGAATTACTTATAGCTGTGTGGTGGGGTTTGGTTTTGTTTTGTTTTTTTTTTAAGTTTTTTAAGTTAAGAATGTTGAAGCTACTAAAACAGGCTGGAGTTCCTGCTTTTCGAGAATCTGCCATTTAGGGGGTGGGGACTGGTGAAGTAGGTGTTGGGGAGGAAGGAGGGCACCTGTTGTGATGAGTGCCGGGTGGGTATGGAAGTGTTTGGTCACTACTCCATGCACCTGAAACAAACGTCACACTGTACGGTAACCAAGTGAAGGAAAATGAAAACTGGAAAAGTACATACGCAAGGTAGAAAAATACCAGTTTAAAAAAGACGTGTATTTATAAAGAAATACAAAACAAAGAACCAGGGAAAAGAGTCTACCATTTAATCAAATAACGTTCCATGCCTCGGGTAGAAGCCATCAGCACAGGGTTGCACTTACATGTGATCCCGTGACCACAGACAAGCGTTGGACCTCCTGTGCGTCTGTCTCCCATGTCCAAGAAGTGGGTAGGATCCGGCCATCCTACTGAGCACGGCTGTTGCCATAACTGGCTCGAGTTAGTCGTTGGAGAGTATGTGGGACCGCGTCTGCTCACAGCGAGCCATTGGTAGGTGCCCTGCATGTCCGCATAGCTGACCTGCCCTTGTCTCTGCTCCTAGGTTCGAGTTCCTGCAGCCATGGCACCAGTATAACGCCTACTACGAGTTCAAGAAGCAATTCTTCCTCCAGAAGGAAGGGGGCGACAGCGCACAGGTACCCATCTGTGGGGGTGCAGGGGTGGTGCAGGTTCCCATCTGCGGGGGCCAGGAAGGCCAGGGGCGCGCAGGTTCCCGTCCGCAGGGGCCGGGGAGACCGGAAGCCTCTGTGTCGCTGCTGCACAGATGTGGGAATAGTTTGTACTTGTTCTCAGGAGGTAGCGAAGGGCTCTCTGGCCGTACTCTGTCTGGGAGGGTCGTGCTCAGCATGCGCAGTCTGACTTTTCCTGCCTCTCAGATGGGAGCCTGTGTTGGGCATCCCCAGAAAACTTTGACCCTGGCAGTCCATGGGTGATCAGCGTGTTCTGGACAAAGAATCCTGCCTCTTGAAGCACGTAGTGTTTTGGCTGGCTGTTACTTTTAACAGCTCTTGGTGGAGGCCACATTCCCTATTTCTTCTGCGTTAAGCGACCCGTCCATAGGTAAACTATAAGCGTGTGGGCTCCTGGCCGAGTGCTGCGGCGCTGTCCATGGTGGGGCCTTTATCCTGGGGGGCAGCTGGCCGTGCCGCTGCGTCCCCCCGTGGGACCCTGAGGCCTGCTGGGTGCCGCTCCCCCGTCCTTGTGTGCTCTCTCCTGCTCTGCTCCCCCAGTTCTGTGGGTGCCCTCGTGTTTTGCTCAGACCTGTTTGGGTAGCTGATGTAGGCCTTGCTTCTTATCAGTGGCTTTCTTCGGGCTTTTCTCTGTAATTGCTCCGACTGAGCAAAAACGACTCGTGTGCAGCCGACGCGCACCGCCTGGGGTCTGAAAGCCTTCTCGGACACCTGTCTCCGAGGAAGAGGCAGTGCGCCTTGGTCCCCAGCATGGCATTAGAGCTTTGAGAGGCAGTCTGTCCTTCCACAGGGAAAACCTCCTCACGCTCCCCTCTGTGTTGTGTTGTAGCAGAAGGTGGCAAGTCTGAGTTTCAGAATGGAGTCTGTCTATCTATCTGTGACCAACCCCGGGCGTCTCTGACGGCGCCGTTGATCGCCACGTTTCATCTCTAGGCTGCGTCCGCACCGGAAGAGGCTCCTGCGGAATCTGCTCCTGAGAAGCCGAGCGACGGTGGGGAGGAGGGTGTGTGTGAGGACTCGGCCGACGCAGGAAGAGGCGGCCCCCCAGGGAAGAAGGAGGCGTCGTCCAGTAAGACAGTGGCGGATGGGAAGCTGGTCAAAGGTAGGCCGCTGCCAGTGCCGCCCTCGCAAACAAGAGGTCGTGGCGGGGGCCAGGGGAGGGGGTGAGGGGGTCGCCACTCCTGGGAGGTCTCTGTCGTAGATCCCCTGCCTCGCAGCGCTTTCCCCGGCTGGGGCGTGGGGCCATGTGGTTGGGGGCTCAGCCGAGGCGTAGCTTTGTCCTGCCGAGTTTAATGGAAAGGTTCAGCACAGTTCCCGGATGTTTGGCTCCTGCTCCGACTCCCGCAGCCACACTCACGTGCAGACTCTGGTACCAGTGCGATTAGTTGACTCTGGGTCCTGAGGCCACTCCCAGGCACCCTCCACAATGGCTCTTAAGTTCTCAGCAGGAGTTTTCCACCTGCTCAGACAGACGAGCACAGAAGGAGCCAGTGCACTAGGACGGGGTTGGGGAAGCCATGCACGTGCACCAGCAGGAGGCTCAGTTTGGGTCAAACGTAGGACGCTGCAGTGAGTCCTGCCTGGCGGGGACGAGAGAGGCTGCGGAGTACCAGGCACCCCAGGGCAGGGCTGCGGTCCCCAGCAGAGGCTGCGCGGCCAGAGCTGCGGGCAGGCGCCCACAGGAGGCGAGGTCGGAGTGGCGGGTGGGTCCTGGGGGAGCGGCTTGCGTAGCAGCCATAGCCAGCTCGCGGGGACCCGGGACTTGGGTCGTCTCAAATGCCACGTCAGAGGAGTGAGTGCAAGTGGGTGGCTGAGGGTACCCTGGGGAGGGCATCACCTGGAGTGCCGATGGGGCTGGGGCCGGCTACAGAGTGTAGGAGAAGGTGGGGTGGGGGGAGGGGCGAGCTGCGGGGACAGAGAGTCGCAGGACTGCAGGAAGGCCGGTGCTTTGCCTCTGGCTGCCGTGTTGGGTGGGGGGCGGGGGTGATCTGGAGTAGCCAGCCCAGCCCGCACGGACAACTGACCGGGGAAACTCAGTATATCTGAGCCTCTCCTTGCACAAGTTAGCTAAGCACACGTGTTGAGTTGCTCACCCTTCCCGGAAACTCAGTATATCTGAGCCTCTCCTTGCACAAGTTAGCTAAGCACACGTGTTGAGTTGCTCACCCTTCCCGGCCACCTGCAGACTCCCGCTGAAATAGCAAAGGAACGTAATAGAGAAGAAAATCAGTTCTTGCCTCAGAAGTGGGGGGAGGTATTCACTGGCCAGCGTACCTGGAATTTACTTCACAGAGAAGAACACCTTGGTACTCTGTGGTGGTGTCCCCCAGGCCTTCGCAGCCTCTGCCAGCCAGAGAGGCGGTGGGTGGGAGGCCAGAGCAGCAGGGAACACGGTGGCAGGTGGCTTGCCCCTCAGCCACGGCTGCCCCCACACCACCATGACCACATGGCCCACGCGTGGGACAGTGCGGCTTGGAGCTGCAGAGCCCATGGGTGCCAGGGAGGCAGCGGGACTGAGCGCCAGGGCTGGCGCTGCCAGTAGCCTCACACCTGTGGGAGCGGCCTGGAAACAACCTCTGGATGGTACAATGTGGTGAAAGCCTCAGGAGCACAGTGGATGCAAAGACAGGCTGAAGATGTTCTCAGATTCACAGGGGAGGAGACGGAGGTGGCCCAGAAGAATCCAGAGGAAGAAAGGGGCAGGTTGCCCCCAGACAGAGAAAAGGATGAGAAGAATCCAGAGGGAGAAAGGGGCAGGTTGTCCCCAGGCAGAGAAAAGGACGATTGGCCCATCACACCCACGTCTGCGGCAAGAAGAGCCGATAAGGGGGTGTCTGGAATTCTGAACGGAAAGTCTTCTGGGTGCTCCCGAGCTCAGAGACTCTTAACAGATGTGTCAGCATTTCCGGAATAGTGAGTCAAGAGTCAGTGTTGCTGATGAGAATGATGAGAATGTTTCTTTTTCTTCTTTTTCTTCTTTTTTTTTTTTTAAGATACTTTTAAGTCCTCTTTACACCCAATGTGAGGCTTGAACTCAGGAGCCAGAGATCGAGTCGCACGCTCCACTAACTGAGCTGGCCGGACACCCCCAATGAGAATATTTATCAAAAAAATATCAAATGCAGCAAAAATGTCAAACAAAAATTTACATAGCTTTGTATGCTTATGTTGGTAAAGAAAACCTGTGACAGCCCTTCAGCTCAAACCTAGAAAAACTGGGTGACTCAGCTAACCGTCTGCCTTCGGCTCGGGTCATGATCTCAGGGTCCTGGGATCGAGCCCCACTTTGGGCTCCCTGCTCATGGGGGAGCCTGCCTCTCCTTCTGCCTCTGCCCTTCCCCCTGTTTGTGTGCTTGCTTTGACAAATAAATGAAGTCTTAAAAAAATGAAAAAAACACGGGGGTGGGGGTGGGGGGCAATGCATGTCAGCAGGGACCGGCGAGGATGTAGGGAAAGGCCGGTGAAGCGTGCCATTTTGCCGGTGGATACACAGCAGACAACGGATGAAGAAAAGCACATTTTCGAAGTGCACGCGAATCATACACGTAACCCTAAATTTGAATGAATTTGAAAATAACTGAAAAAATGGTCTAGGAAAGTAATTAATCGCTGCTGTCGTGTCAAGAAGAGGCAGGTGTGATGGACGCACGGTCTGGAAGAATTTCGGGGACGGCACCGTTCCATGACGTCCCGGAACACAGGCAGCTGGCAGGACCGCATCAGGTCAAGTTTGCTCCCGCAAGAAAGAGGAGCCTGGCCTCCCAAGGGAATGCAGGGCGGCCTGGAGCCAGGTGGGGCCTGGGGGCACTCCGTGGGCACCGCCCTGGTGGGAGCCCACGAGCCTGGCCACGGCAGCAGATCCCAGGTCGGCATAGGTGTGTCCTGGGGTGTGGCTAGCGCGCTTCAGTGCGACTGACTGATGGCTGGAAGTCCGGCCTCCCGTTACAGAAAACAAGTAAATACAACTGCTTCTCCACATCTCACAACAATAGTTCCAGATAGATTATGTTTTTTTTTTTAAGATTTTTTATTTATTTATTTGAGAGAGAGACAGTGAGAGAGAGCATGAGCTAGGAGTAGGTCAGAGAGAGAAGCAGACTCCCCATGGAGCTGGGAGCCCGATGCGGGACTCGATCCCGGGACTCCGGGATCATGACCTGAGCCAAAGGCAGTCGTCCAACCAACTGAGCCACCCAGGCGTCCCCAGATTATGTATTTAAATGTAAAAAACATCATGAAGGGGCGCCTGGTTGGCGCAGTTGCCAACTTGGTTTTGGCTCAGGTCATGATCTCACGGGTCAGGGTCTGTGCTGCGGGCACAGTCTGCTTGTCCCTCTGCCTCTGTTTCTCCCACTGCTCCTGCACACACTGTCTCTCTCTAATATAAAATATTTTTTAAAATAGACACACGAAGATGGAAGAAAATAAAGGCAGTTTCTTTTTCATAATCTAAGAGTTGGAATAGACTTTCTAGAAATTGAAGCCATAAATCCTAAGGAAGGTAAGGAGGTCTGATGGGGGCAGGACCTGAAAGAAATTAAATGACAAATGTCAAAATGTTGGTGACCGTTCACATGGCCGGAGAAGGGGCATTGTGCACACTGTGGGAAGAGCTCAGTGACCAGTGAGGAAAGCGTGGCAAAGAAGTAGTAGACCAAGGACATGGCAGATCCCTCACCAAAGAAGAAAAGACGATGGTCAGGAGATACATCTGCATTAACAAAATGCTGTCTTTTGCCTCTCAAATCAATCAAGTTATGCATAATGCTCCGAGAGGGAAAGGCGCAGGGCAGCAGGAGCCCGTCGTGCCGTCTGCAAGCGCGCACGGGCGCAGCTCCTAGAACCGCCGCGTGCTCATGCCTGACACCTGCGGCTCGGCCGGCGCCCCGACTGAGCGCTCCCTGCGGGCTCGTGGCTCCTAGAGGTAAACCCTCGGACGTAGTCGTGGGGACGGAAATACACTGGAACGCCCATACCAAGAAATGAGGCTCCGGTGTTTAAAGATGATCTCTGCTGACACGGGAACGCGGCAGTGTGGCTCCCCGAGTGGAGCGGGCTGGAGCGCTCGAGTGTGCCCGTGCATGCCTGCGTGTCTGTGCCACAGCTGATCTTTCGTTTTGTCCACCTGGGGTGTCAGTTTTCCGTAGAGAACGCAGTCCATGCGAAGGCTGACATTCGTAACCAGGCTTGGTCCCTCACCTGCGGGGGCACACGTGTGCAGGATGCAGGCCCGGGGACTGTGTGCGTCACACACGCACTGACCAAGCTCCCCGGCCCGGCTCCCAGCAGCCCTGGCCCCACGCCCTGCAGCCCAGGGTGAGCAGGCTGCGGATACACGATGCGAAACCCGAAGAGTTGAGGAGAGAGGCCGGGCGGGCATCTGTGAGCTGAGGCTGAAGGAGGAAGCAGCAGCCCCTCGCAGGCGGGGGAAGGGAGGCTATGCCAGTGAAGGCAGGGCCAGAGCTGCCACATCCTTGCAGCAGGGGGAACCGGGCTAGGTTCCTTACGTGAAGGAAGGGTTTCTGGTCCCCCGCTCCCTGGCTCAGCTCCCTGGGAAAGTTACTTGGCCTTTGTAGCCTTGGTTCCCCGTCTATAAGCAGGAAGCCCAGCAGCATCCCGGACGCGGCTGCGCGTTCGTTAGGTGAGGCCCAGGGTTGGCCCCTTGCCCCATGCCGTTGCCGACTCGCTTCAGCGTCTGTGTCAGTAACGGGGCTCTTTGGCCTTGCGTTTCACACGCATACGTGCTGGAGTCCGTACGCGTGTTGTTAGCATAGGAAGTGTAAAATGCGGCGTTTGTTGAGGGCTGGTTTATTCAGTCTGGAGGAAGAGATGTTTTGAGAATCGTTAAAGTTATCTTGGGATGTGCTGCTGTAGCCCCAAGTCCGTGAGCAATTTTGATTGACATTTAAGTGATTATTTTGCCTTTTAAGGTCTCTTGGCCATATGTTGTTAAGGAGATCGTGTTACTATAGGTGGTAAAGGGTAATATTAAACTTGTTTTCTCGCAGAAAATGTCAGGGTGTACAAACTCAGCGTGCCATGATGAGCGCAGCACCCCACTCCCCCGACTGCCCTCCCGAGTCCCCGACATCGTAGCCCCTCACTCATAGACGATTTAGCATGTCTGCGGAAGACGGGACTGTATAACAGTCCTGCACTTAATGTGGGCTCCCCTAACGAACCTTCGTCTTCATGGCCCCTGTGTGGGGTGTGGTGTGCATGGGGACAGGCAGTGCGCCGCGGATTTTCCAGGGGACTCACCAGCTGTGCCTTTCGCAGCACGTGGCATGTGACTGTGCTCTAGCCCGAGGCAGTTGCGGACAAAAGGTGGTTATGTGGCAGACCTAGGGTGCTTATGTGCTGCAAGGCTTCCGCGGTGTGGAGCCGCAGAGTGCGGATGGTGGGGCCCTCGGGGGCCAGCTGGGCCCCCTCCCTGCCGACCCACAGACACAGCCCTTCTGAAGCCTGCCGGGTTTCGTAATGGAAAGTTTCAGGCGCATCCAGAAGATGAGCATACCTTCCCGGATCCTCTTCCTGCGTTCTCCGAGTCAGCGGTGTGTGCTGCACTTTAAAGTTTGCCTTTGCAGGGGCTCCTGGGTGGCTCAGTGGGTTAAGCCTCTGCCTTCAGCAAAGGTCATGATCTCGGGGTCCTGGAATCGAGCCCGCATCAGGCTCTCTGCTCAGCAGGGAGCCTGCTTCCCCCTCTCTCTCTGCCTGACTGTGCCTACTTGTGATCTCTGTCGAATGAATAAATAAATTTTTTTTTTTTTTAATTTTCCTTTGCTGTGGTTTACTTGAATGTCTTTCATTAGGTCATGATTCATGGTGTTTAAGAGTGAAGTAACGCAGTACAGTCAGGCAGGTGTCGTTCAGAATCACCTTCCCCGTAGTGTCCGAAGGAGCCAGGGGCTCTCGAGCGAGTGTTGCGTGGATGGGGACGGGGAAGATTATTTCCTTTCGGGCCTTTGTATTTCTCTTAGTAAAATTCGTAGATATTCTTGGGGAGAACATGGCACCACCTGACATTTTGTGGCTACCGTGGAGTCGTCAGACAGCACGTCTTCCACGAAGCAGGGGCGTGTTAAAGTGTTTGCTGAATGAGGCACCGGGCCCAGTAACTTTTGCTTTGTAACAGGAGGCTACGTTATAAAGTGGGGTTTTTTAGAAATGCCTTTCCGTAGTCGAGTCGCATCATGTGCCTGTTTGTCCTGTACAGATTCAGCCATAGGCTGAGTCTGGGGAAGGAAGGAAAACCCCGAGAGCAACTGACCCTTTATAGATGCAGTGACTCTGACTCACCCTCAGGGCCTGCGTCCCAGCAAGGCGTGCATGGGATCCCCCCACGGGCCGGGCCAGCCCCCCTGCATGCAGCGTGCATCTAAGCGGCCCTCTCTGACCACGCAGGCGCTGCCTGCAGCCCTAGAACCTCCCTCCATGTGAGAAGTGGCTCCACTCGAGACGCTACCCCGCCGGCCGATGTGCTTGTGGACGGTGGGGCCCCTGCGGGTTTCTGCTCTGTGCTTCCAGATACCTAAAAGTCTATCACCGTTTTCGCTTTTCTCAATAGCTTCATTTGCTCCGATAAGCTTTGCAATCAAGGCCAAAGAAAATGATCTACTTCCCCTGGAAAAAAATCGTGTTAAGCTAGATGATGACAGTGATGATGATGAAGAAGGCAAAGAAGGCCCGGAAAGTTCTAGTAGTGCTACGAACACTAACCCGGCAGTTACCCCGCCCTGTGTAGTGGTTGAGGAGAAGCGGCCTCAGCTGACCCAGGAGGAGCTAGAAGCGAAGCAAGGTTTGTCCGTATGTTTTCAACTTCTTGAAGGAAAAAGTATGTAAACACAAGCTTAACCCGCTCAGCCCACAGGACAGAGACTGCCAGCCGGGACCTCCAGCCTTCAGACCCCAGAACCGCGGGGGTCCAGTGGGGGTGTTGTACACGAGGAAAGTTCTTGGTTAGAGCAGTGAGCACTGCTCTTCACTAAGCGGCAGACACAGCGCCCCGGCAGCGTGTTTCCAGAGTCTGCCCAGAGTGCCGTCGTGGGGGTAGGGGCCTGTGCGCTCTGACCACAGCCCTGGGCCGAACGCTCGGCCTACGCTCCCGGCTCGGACCCCATACCAGACAAGAAGATGCCCTGCTGTGAGCCCATCCGACCCTTCAAGGTGACGCGGGCCCCGGCCAGACCACCAGCTGTTCCGGCACCACCAGTGGCGTTGGTGCGGGTGCCCCCCGGCCTCCCACCCGCCCCCAGAACACATCGTGCTCTACACTCACATAGTTAACGCCAGCGTCAGCTTCTGCCTCTGCTCCCGGGGTGTACGCTGCGCTTTCTATACACACGCGCACAGGTGAAGCCACATTCGTAGGAGGATGCCTCACTCAGACCTGGCCTGGTGCAAGTCACCGTCCCTCGGCAGGCTCGGCTCTGTGCGTGTGTGTCTGAATTCACACCGACTGCCGTAAACCGAGCCGTGCGTGTTGGGAGTAAACCTTGTAACGCGGCATCCCTGGCCGGGGTGAGTGGCATTCTGAGGTTTCTCCGATCCCCGCTGTCCCTGCTGTGCAGTCCCATCAACTTTGTGGCTTTGATTCTGAAGGTGAAATGTTAGAAATAATACGCGTTTTGAACTAAGTCTCTCAGAATTCAATTTGCCTGATACGTCTGTCCCGAAATTTGGGTCGTGTTAATCTTTTAGAAAACTGCATTGTATTTCATGACCCTTTCACTGCCTGCGAAAATCAAAATAGCAAGGTGTTTGTAAGAGACCACGTGTTGTAAACATTTGCTTTCTTCTGTGTTTATTCCTTAAGCAAAGCAAAAGCTGGAGGACCGACTCGCAGCCGCGGCCAGAGAGAAGCTGGCCCAGGCGTCTAAGGAGTCAAAGGAGAAGCAGCTTCAAGCGGAACGTAAAAGGAAAGCAGCTTTATTTTTACAGACCTTAAAAAATCCTCTGCCAGAAGCAGAAGTTGGAAAAGTTGAGGAAAATCCTTTTAGTGCGGAGGTGAGTTGAAGTCCACATCAGCATTCTGGGTAGAAGTGGGTGAGTGTGGGCCTCCTGCCCCGGGGGGCCCGGAGCTCGTGGCCAAAGCTCCCACCAGACCCCCCACAGCAAGTGCCCGGCGCCGTCACAGAGACTTGGGCCTCTCTCCCCAGCTGGGAACCTTTGCTCCCACGAGCACATGAGGCCGCAGGGGGCTTCCCTGGGAGGGACGCACGTCCGCCTGGGGACACTCTTGGCCAGAACAGTGACTGCTCGGGTCCGTGTCAACATCAGCACTTGAATTCGAAAGCAAACTCAGACGTGGTCATGGCCATGACCGGCCCTCCACGCTTCCTCCCCCCGACCCCGGGCTCGGGCCAGCGCTTCCCATGGTCCGCAGCCTGTCTTGGAGCGGCCTTTCTTGGTGACGGAGAAGGTGCCCTGTGCTCTTGATCACCCGGACGTCTCTGAGAGTCTAGGGCCATGACTCCAGATGGATTTGGGCCGCATGTAGCTGCTGGGTGTGTTTGTTTTCCGAGGAAAGCCTCACGGTGAGTTCCCAGCTCCTGCCTCCTGCTGCCGGCCAAGCCCGCTGTCTCCGTCAGGAGTCGGTCTGGGGCTCGGTCAGGGAGGGACAGAGCCTCCACTGGGACGGTTGCGGCTCACGGGGGCCGGGGAGCTGGAACTCTCCCGGAGGTCCTGCGGTCCTGCGGTCTGCTGCCGTGTGTGTGCGGAGTGGATGGCGGAGTTCGTGGACATCTGCGTGTGGGGCTGTTGGAGCCGACTCTGTCACGTGGCCACAGCTGTGCTTCCTGACAGCGCTGTGCTTGAGCAAAAACTTGGTCACAGCCAGAATCGCTCCACGTCCGTGCACCGCGTTCCCCAGTCTGCCCTGTGGCCTCCTCCCGGCAGCAGGATTCCTCCCTGTAAACGCGAGATAGGCTTCAGCTCGGGGTTTTTCCTGTTTATCCATGCACGGCGAGTCCCACCTCTCTTGTTTTCGAGCGTGTGTTCTGAATCGTAACACGTGGAAATGAGTGCTGATGGTTCTTGTTTAAGTCACTGGGTCATTCCCCTTGCAGACCTAGTGGGAGAGATTGAAGCTCCTACACTGTTTCGACAGAAACGTAACAGTAGTAGCAGATGGTAGTAAACGCCTTTAATTGCTTTGAAACAAAAATAATTATGTTGGCAATTGTCATAAGTGAGATTCAATGTGAACGTGTAGCTGGAAGCAGCTTCTGGAGAGGGTCCGCCTGCGTTCGTGGGCTGCGATGTGCACACGTCACTCGCCGCTGCTGGCACAACGGTCCCCTGCCGGCCCGGGTACGGCCCTCTGGCGTGCGGCCCCCAGGTCGGTGTGAGCCGCCGTGCGCAGGGCAGCTGGGGATGTCCTCCGAGGGGTTGGCTCGAGACCCCGCAGGTCTTTATGGCAGCGCATCTGCTTCGACTTCCACGACAGGACCACGTACGCATGACACAGACCGTTCACGTGCAAGGGCAAGGTGCCGAGGGGAACACACGCTTCCCTTCCCATGTGTTCCTGTTTCATAATTCCTAGGGAAGTACCAAGTTCTTATTCATTGTAGTTTTTATTGTGTAAAATTACCATGCCTACAACTGGTCATCTTAACCCTTTCCGAGCACACCATTCAGCGGCACTGAGTACACTTCTGTCGCATGCCGCCGTCCCCATCCTCCACGGTCAGGACCCTGGTACCTTCCCGAATGAAACTGCCCCGTGCACCGCTGGCTGGGGGCGACTGGTGCCCATGCCGTCCGTCTCCGTCAGCCTGGCTGCCCTTGGGGCCTCGTGGAGGCGGGGTGTTGGTGCTTCCTGGACCAGCTTGGGTCACCTTTCACGATGTCGGTTTTTAAGCTGAATCGTAACCCATTTTATGTGAATGCTGTGTTTTAGTGCTTGTGTATTCTCGAGGGAGAACGATCTGTTTCTACATGTAGATTTAAATGTCACAGTCTGGGGTGCCCTGGTGGCTCAGTCGTTAAGCATCGGCCTCAGGCTCAGGTCATGATCCCAGGGTCCTAGGATCGAGCCCCGCATCAGGCTCCCTGCCTAGTGGGAAATCTGCTGCTCTCTCTGCCACTCCCCGTGCTTCTGTTCCCTCCCTTACTGTGTTTTTCTTTCTGTCTCTGTTAAATAAATTAATAACGATTTTTTAAAATTTAGATAAATAACTGTCACAGCCCTAGGACCGCACCCTGTGCGTTACTGTGCGCGCCGGGCTTTTCACTCCGCAGAGCTCCTCCCTGTGTCCGTCGGGCTCGCGCTTGAGCGTGTTCATCGGGTGAGCGCCTGCTGCCAGCCCATAAGCTGCCCCAGCCTTGGGCGGACGTGCAGCTGGCCCGGTCTTAGGGCTGTGACCGTGCTCCCCTGTCCCGCGCACTCACTCCAGTGAGTGGAGCCATAGCACGGGCCCCTGACCATGGAAATGGCCCCTAAATCTCAGGCACTACTGAGTGAGCCCTGACACGATTGTGGCGGGTTTTGTCTCTCTCTGGGGCTGTGAAAATACCCGAGTGGGAGCCGGCTGTCAGCAGGCTCTGGCGGCTGTCGGTCTCGACCGGTGGAAAGACGGCATCTGTTCCGTTAGCTCGTGTACATTAGCTGTCCTGACACGAGTGACTTCCTAGGGGCTCCTGGTGTCCTGGCCCCTGCCGCCCGAGGGCCGCCTCCATAGCCTCTCCACATGTTCTCCTGGCTGCCAGCCTCTCGCTGGGCATGGCTTTTTGTGACAGTTTCCCTGGTGGTTTTCCTCTTTGTCTGCCGTGGCCTGGATGCCTTGGAATTTAGTTTCAAGAGCATATAGCTAGACATGGTGCATGTCGCCGGGTCCCTCACCTTCCCGCTCACTGTAGAGGCCTCCTGGAGTACACGCCTGCTCTGCCCCCCGCTGCCGCGTCAGAAGGGGGTCTTCCGTGACCGGGTACAACCTCACATCATAGAGCGGGATTACCGCCGTGGACAGATGGGGCAGTGCATTGTGGAGCAGTCTGTAAGGCACAGAAAAGCATGTACGTGAGTCCTCAGAAATTCATGTACGTGGCTCATTTTGGGGTTTGCTCTTGGTTCAGAATGAAGAGAAACCAGTGATCCTAAATCTGAGCCCCTTTGCATTGTCACGTGATCATTTGGCGGTAACAGCTCATGTCAGGACACCTTCAGATGCTAGTACTTTGTTCAAGGTAATGGTCCGACCGAGTTTATGGGGCCAGCAAGCGATTGCAGGGACGCGAGAACAAAAATCAGCCTCTGTTGGTTGAGCCTCTGTTGTAGTCAAGGCGCCAGCGCACCTCGGAAGATGAATGGGGAGCCTGTTTCTTACCCGGTGACGGTACAGTCGCATCTGTCCCCCAGGGTTGTCCTGCAGGGCAGCCGAGCAGATGAGCGTGTGGATGTGCCTGGGCCTCCGGGAGGCGGAGATGGCGTCTTGGCTGGGCTTGAGGAGCCTTGGTCCTGTGAGAGGTGACCCCGTAGGGAGGGCCGTCCGGGGCCAGGGTCGCGCACGGGCTGGAGGTGGGTGCCGCCGCCTGAGGCAGCAGCGATCAGCACCGCCCCGGGTCTGCAGGAATCAGAGGGACGCGGACGAGGGAGAGCGATTCCACGGGAGGAGTGTGCTCTGGCCGCTGTGTCGGCGGGAGGGCCGGCGGGAGCCTTGTGCAGGCCCGTGAGCGACTGGGTGACCAGCGGCGCCCACGCAGCAGAACACGCAGAGAACAGCGTGGGCGCTTAGCTCCGGCTGTCGGATTGCGTGGGTGGGGGCCGCGCGGGACATGTGACTGACGGGAAGGAAATGGAGATTCAAACGTGCAGGTTTATTTATTTATTAAGGTTTTATTTATCTGGCAGAGAGTGCGCGCACAAGCTGGGGGAGCAGCAGGCAGAGGGCAGAGGGAGAAGTAGACTCCCCCTGAGCAGGGGGCCTGAAGCGGGGCTCGATGCCAGGACCCCGGGATCATGACCTGAGCCGAAGGCAGGGGCTTCGCCGACGGCCCCCAGGCGCCCCCAGACGGGCAGCTGCAGAGGACGTGTTTCAGTCTGCAGCGTCAGACTCACCGTCGCACCTTGCGATGTGTGCCGGGTTCCCCCACTCTGACAGCTGACGCGGCCTCCCTTCCCAGGGGAGGTCCTGTCTTCAGGTACCTGCTCGTCTGCTTCTGGGCAGTTCGTGTCCCCGCGGCAGGACGTGATGGTTGTTGGGTTCGTGCCAGCTGTTGGCGAGTTCTTCTTTGTGGTCAAAGGACGAGCTAGTGTCATTTCCCAGTGTCCTAAACTGGGGGCACTAAGGTTTCCCAGAGTCCCTCCTTGAATTCTCCCAGTGCCTCTCAGACCTGCCCGTGTGCTCCCTCCCCCTTCCGGTTTGTGCTTCGCTCGTCATTGCTGGAACAGTGACATTCCAGCCCAGGAAGGCAGCTCTGCTCGTTTGCTGCCTTCCCGTCGGCCTGTCCTTGATCGGGGTCGCAGAGGGCTCGGCCAGCCGCCGTCGGAACCCAGAGTGGGGCGTGGGGAGCCGCGGGAGTCTGTCTTCCAGGCTGCTGGTACATGACATTCAAGCAGGCGAGGTGGAGGAGACTCTGGTTAAGGCAGGAACAGCATTTGTGTGCAGGGGTGTTTTCAAGGCGTGCACTGTCCCACATGGTAGCCGCTACCGCCCAGAGTCATTAAAGTTTAACTTGATAAAGATTAAATGGGGGCGCCTGGGGGGCCCAGTCACTGAAGCACCCGCCTTCGGCTCAGGTCACTATCTGGGCCCTGTGCCGGACTCCCCGCTCCAAAGGGGCTGGTGCTCCCTCTGCCCCTGCCGTTCCCCCCCACTCGCACTCTTCTCTGGCTCTCTTTCTCTCAGTCTCTTTCAAATAAATGGATAAAACCTTTTTTTAAAAATTAAGTCAAATTCTGGGGCGCCTGGGTGGCTCAGTGGGTTAAAGCCTCTGCCTTCGGCTCAGGTCATGATCCCAGGGTCCTGGGATCGAGCCCCGCATTGGGCTCTCTGCTCAGCAGGAAACCTGCTTCCTCCTCTCTCTCTGCCTGCCTCTCTGCCTACTTGTGATCTCTCTCTGTCAAATAAATAAATAAAATCTAAAAAAAAAAAAAAAAGATGTAAAATTAAAAAAAAAAACTAAGTGAAATTCAAAATCCAGGTCCCTAGCCGCACTGGCCACACGTGGCCAATAGCTGACCACCGTGCACGGGCCACGGCTTCCGTTGTTGCAGCCAAGCACAGAGGATACGGCTGGCTGGCTGTTGAGTCTGTCTTCTAGTGGTTTGAAAGTCCGGCTTGCTGCGCAGTCAGGCTCTGATGGCACAGGGTCAGGAACCGACCCCACTGCCCCCACGTGGCTCAACAAAACCAGTAGAGAGCAGCGCTCGTGTTCTGACGTGGGAGCATGGTGCAGCCCCCTCAGAGATCAAGGATTCACCTCCAGGCATAGCGTCCCCTGGCCAGCTGCGTTCTCGGCCCTGACTCACCTCATCGCCCACTCAGACCTGAATCCTGGACAGCTTGACTAGGCTCTTGTGCTTCTCCCTCCGCATGGCACAGCAACCAGGGAGTTGGAATGTTCTGGTCTGTCCCCCACTCAGGTAGAGTATGTGTCCTCTGGAATTCATGGATTGAGGGGGCAGGAAGGGCCGTTGCCCACACAGGCAGGATTTGCTCATGTAGGGGAACAGGTGTCTACTGCACTTGTCCAAACACTTTGCTTACATTTTCTAAAAGAATTTTATGGCCCAAGTCGCTATTACGCGTCCTCAAGAAACTTCCCTTGGTGTCCCTTGAATTTCCCTGGCCTGTCTCGTTGTGTAGCAGGAATCCCTCCAGGGTAGCTGAGAGGCCAGTGATGCACACCTGTCCCTTAGCGAGTGATGGGACACCCGAGAGGCCTTCAGGTATCCTGCCCTTGTGTTTGTGCAGCCAGAGCCTCGGGCCTGTGCCTGGAGCGCCAGAAACACGTCCCCCCGCCCCCGCCATCCTGTCAGTGCAGAACGGGCTCGGCCCGAAAACCTCCAGGTGGCGTGTCTCTGAGCTTGGTGCCGGCACCTGCTCACGGGTGGCGGCGGGGTGTGGGGGGGTACGGCCTGCATGAGACTGTGACCGAGCCTGCCCATCTCCTGCCCTGGCGTGTCGACCAGGCTGTGGGCGGCTCTTGGGCATCTCCGCCTCCTGAGTGTGCGGGGCGGCTCGGCTTCAGAAGTGACAGCTCAGGCCCCAGCAGCAGGTGGGGATGTGGCTGGGGTGTGGGGGGGTGTGGCTTTAGCAGGAAGCATTGTCCCCTTATCCAGTGGGCCTTGTCCACGTGGACCACAGGGACCCAAGGAGAGGACAGGAACAGTTGCGGGATTCCGCGGGCCCTGCCCCGCAGGTGCACCCCTCCCTCAGGCTCAACACCCGCCTCGCGCTGTCCCCGGAGCGTCCCAGCTGGGTCCTCGGATGCCCCCGGTGTTCAGATGCAGAGCTGCGGGGCGTCCCTCAGTGTGCGCGGTGTTCAGTTAGAGCGCATCGAGGACCTTTCTCGGGGACGGGGGCAGGCGGCACGCGAGCTGGACTTCAGGTTCGGGTTTGGGTGGGTTTGGGGTTTGTTGTGTTTTGTGCCTGTGAACTTGGATATTTTACACTACGATGCGGACCGTCAGTGGACGTAGGGTTACCACCTTATTTTTAAAGGCTGAGCACTGTTTCCTGTCCGGCTGCATCACATGCGACCAGTGCCCTCGAGGGTCGTTTGCAGGTCGTGGTCGTTCCAGGGTCCCGTGGCATGGGACCTTGGGCATGCAGCGTGCACACTTGGCTCTTCAGAAGGAATTGCTAGAACTGGCATTGCCCTGATGACGGTCGCAGCTGACGGGCTCCCCCGTCTTCGTCCACCTGTGGGCCTTCCCACCGTGGGGCCTCGGGGTGCATCACCTCTGCGTGTTTCGCGTGGATGCAGGGGTTTATGGTGAACAGTGTGTTGAGTGCAGGACCGTGCTGGATCAGCACATGCCGACCGGCTTGTGCCCGTGGAGCTGCCTGGGTGAGGACTGCTGTGAGAACCATGTTTTCCCGCTGGTCCTGAGGCGTGACTGGTGCACGCACCGTGCGTGTGAGGTCCGCGGCGGGATCGCCGAGGTGTGTGTGACATGATGGCCACGAGGGTTCAGTTAACATCCATCAACTCAGGCACAGGAAGGAAAGAAGGAAGGTTCTTAAAATCAAAGAGGAACCTCTTAGTTCAGGTCTTCCTTCAAAAATTACTCTCAGATTGGTGTAGAGATTCATAAAAGCCCGATGCAGGAGGTCTGAGAATCTCTCGGTCAGTGGAAGGTCGCAGTGATTTATGAAAGCACAAGCACGGCTCTTTTCCTGCCTCGGTGTCCTTGTTGCCACGTTCTTGATGAGGTCGAGTGCCGCTGGCTGGGGCTGGTGAACGAGCACGGGCTGGGGAAACTGTCGAGTATACTCCTGGCATCTGCCACTTCCCCGGAGACCAGGGCGATGTTTTAGAGCCATAGAAAAAGATGTGCTCCTTTCTGAGAGGTGTTGGTGCGTTAAATGGTATGAGGGCCCCAACGTTGAAATTTTATGTGTGCGCGTTTTGAAATGTCCTACTTTTCCTCTTAACATCCCGATGTTTGCTTCTGTCCCCAGGAAGCCAGTTCTGTGCCCTGTCCGCTACTGGCTGGAGGCAGACCTCTGCCCACTTCAGACGTTAAGCCCCCAGAAGGGCCCTCCAGCAAAAGTAAGGACCCGCCGAGGGAAGAGGAGAAGGAGAGGAAGAAGAAAAAGCACAAAAAGCGGTCTCGCACAAGGTCGCGCTCCCCCAAGTACCACTCGTCCTCCAAATCCAGGCCCAGGTCCCACTCGAAAGCAAAGCACTGTCTCCCCAGTGCCTATCGGACGGCGCGCCGTTCCAGGTGGGTGTGCAGGGCGCCCATGGCGCGGGACTGCCGTGGGTGCTGGGTCCTCCTTCCCCAGAGCGGCAGGGCCAGCAGGGGCGAGCACAGACCTCCTGACAGCTCACCTGCAGGTCCAGCTTGCAAACCCCCGTGACATCTTTCCAGGTTGTCTCAGAGTTTGATTTCTAAACCTACAGCCAGGTTTTTTAAGAACAGATCTATATAAGTTTTAGCAGGTTTGTTCAGTATGTAAAACTCACAAGGGTGGGGTGTCTCGTTTTGTCCGTGTGGCCTTTCCCGTGCTAATTGCCCGTGTGCGTGCTGTGACGGGGGCTCGGCGCGGCTCCTGCCCAATGTCCACGCGGGCGGCACCCGTCTTTTCCCTCCGTCCATTTGCCCTTCTGCCCGCCTACAAGAGGTGCCCTTAACCGCCAGGTGTGAGAGCAGGTGAAGACTTGAGGCCGCAGAAACAACCGCGGCCCTTAAAGGGTCACAGAATTCACTGCCCAGTGAAGCAGTTTTGTCTGAAACAACTGCAGCAGGTTTAAAACCTCTGCCTTTAAACCCTGCATCCCGGCCTGCAGCCTGTTGCTCAGCGTTGAGTGGGGTCCGCCGGCTTCCTCTCTGGCACGGCGCGCGGCCTGCAGGGACCGCATCTGTCCTCTGCAGCTGATGCGCGCCCGCCTCTTTTCCTGGGAAAGCGCGCGCCTGGCGCATCCTGTCTCAGACGCACCCGCCTCTCTGAGTACGTCCCTGTTTCTAGCCACACCAGACCTCAGAGCCCGACAAGTGTGGCAGCAGTGAAATTGGATTTTCTCCACGTAAACACCTTTGCTCCTCGGCTGCGTGCAATTCTGGTCGTTTTTCAGAAGTTCCGTCTTGACACACACACCCCCCGCACAGACACACACGTGCACACCCAGACACACACCAACACACCTTGTTCTTTCATTAAATGAACGACTTTGCTGATAGCATTTCAATTTTTGGAAGCTCCCTGAAATTTGTAGGTAAATATCAAAATGTTTTAAAGTTTCTTTTTGACAGAGTTTCTTAAATGGTACTGTGTAGTGGACATAAGTCCCGTCGGCCCACACCAGCCCTCTGAGCAGTAACGTGCCTGGTAAATTCTGGCCCATTGTCCTTCACCGCACGGCTTTAACAAGGGCGACCGTGAGGCGCCCCTGAGCTCTTGTCTGGGGGACTGGCAACGATGAAACTCGTCCCATCTGCAGTGCGAGCCGCGAGCTGTGCTCTGATCCCGAGTGTTCTGCACATAGAGCACCAAGTGTAGCCCATCCCCAGCTGTGGTGGCGGGGAGGGGGTGGCCACCAGCGTCTCCCCAGCTTGTTCTCATCACAGCTGCAGTGCTCGTCTGACTCTGAGTTGTGAGTTCTAGGTTTTATGTGCTTTTTAATTGACTGTAATAGAGTAAGGCATTTTATATGTCATTTAATACTTTTTTTAAGGTTTTATTTATTTGAGAGAGAAAGAGCACATGAGAGGGAGCATGAGAAGGGGAGGGGCAGAGGGAGAGGGAGAAGCAGGCTCCCCGCTGAGCAGGGAGCCTGATGCGGGACTCAATCCCGGGGCCTTGGGATCATGACCTGAGCCGAAGGTAGACACTTAACTGACTGAGCCACCCAGGTGCCCCTATTTTAATACTTTTTAAATAATTGTTTTTGGTTTTTACTTTTTGAGAGAGGGAAAGGAGGAGCAGAAGGAGAGGGAAAGAGAATCCCAAGCAGGCTCCACACCCAGCGCAGAGCCCAACACGGGGCTCCGTCTAGCAGCCCCCAGACCGTGAGCTGAGCTGATGGAGCCACCCAGGCGCCCCTAAATCATTGTTTTAGAAAAGATTCAGAGTTACATACTTTGTATCTGAATATATTTTATATTTTTCTGTATGTTCAATGCTGACAAGTGCAAAAAGCAAAATCCTAATTCTTAGTGTGTAACCTTGAGTTATAAGAAAAAAGTTAAAAATTTTCTGCTTTTGAGTTCTGCGATGGCAGACTGCCAGCTTCACCTTAATTTGACCTACAGTTAAAATTACCTGTCACCAGAGCTGATTTTTTCATGACTCAGGCTGTTCTAGTTGTGGTGGCTGAGTGTCTCCGTGCTCCCTCCGGCGGACTGTGTGTACGTGGGCTGACTTCTCCGTCCACTGAGGCAGCCAGACCCTCCGGCCTCTGACTGGCAGTTCATAGGATATCAGGGCAAAGTGCACTTCGTTATAAAATCATCAAAATTATATCATGACACAAAGCCCGCCAAGGGTAATCCGTGATGTTTTGCCTTGAAAAATCACGTGTGACAACAATGCTTTTTGAAGCCGGACCCCGCCAGGCTCGGGGCTGAGAGGAGAGACCAGCTGTCCCTCGGCCCCGGGGCCGCTCAGAGGAGATGGCGGCTCACGCCAGTCTCCAGGGGTGTCCTGCCTGGGCTCGCAGCTGATAGCCGCGCGTCTGCTTCGTTTGGGAACGCGGCATGTGTCCCTGGGCAGTCGCCCCTGCTCTCTCAGCCCAGGCTCTGCCAGCTTGGATGACCCCAGTGGGTTTACACTGCAGCAGATTTAAACCAGGAGACCCTGGTGTTCTCAGTAATTGAATCTGGATGTGTGAAAAATACTTCAATTTTTAACCATATCTTGAAGTTGCTAAAGACAATGTCATATTGTCAACTGTCTTTTCAGATAGCGCTACCCTTTACAGTAAGGGACCCGTCAGACTGTTCCTGGGCCTGACGCATGACTTGATTATTTTATTTTTTTAATAAACTTTTTTTTTTTAATTTATCTGACAGAGAGACATCACAAGTAGGCAGAGAGGCAGGCAGAGGGGGAGGTGAAGCGGGCTCCCTGCTGAGCAGAGAGCCCAATGTGGGGCTCCATCCCAGGACCCCGAGACCACAACCCGAGCCGAAGGCAGAGGCTCAACCCACTGAGCCACCCAGGCGCCCCAAGACTTGATTATTTCAGAAAGACTCCTGCCACCTCCAAGTAAAAGGCAAATTCATTGGTCAGTATTTGTACTTGCAGAGTTCTGTGGTTGAAATGTATTTTCTTTTACATACTGAATTACTGAAGTGCTTTGTAAGGCATAGAAGGCTGGGGTTAGACAGGCCCTTTCCTAGCAGCCGTGATCTCCGTGTGAAGGTAAGTGGCGTTCGCATGCCTGCGGTCCGAGTGCTCAGCTCGTCAAAGCTGTAGGGCCCTGGGTCTCTAGAGGCAGCCGGGCCATTTCCAAAATCAGTAAGTTGCTTCTTAGAAAGGGCAGTGATTACCGCATAGTGCTTCGTGTGTTTTAAATCAGCATTAATTGAAATGTAAGACCTTTTTCCTCCTCTTTTTTTTGTGAGGATTTATTTATTAGAGAGAAAGCGCACGCAGGTGGGGAGGAGCAGAGGGGAGGGAGCGACACCAGCAAGCTGCGTGCTCTGCCAGAGCCCAACTCGGGGCTCAATCCCATGACCCTGAGACCAGGACCTGAGCCAAAATCAAGAGTCAGAGGCTCCACCTACCGAGGCACCCAGATGCTCCTCTCTGTGCTTTCCGCTTCTGTCTCACCAGGTTCTCTGCTGTAAATGGAACGAAGTAGTAGTACTCAAGCCATTAGTGTATCACCTAAAAATTGAGCTTTCATCGTTAGATGTTGTTAAAATCTTGTAAGACTCTAAAGCTTAAAGTGAAGCTACTTGAAGAGCGCTAGAGAAGATCACCTTCAGCCTCTGTTCCATCGGCTCGTCAGTATTTAAGGGGCGGCCGAATGGGGGCAGGTTCCGGGTAGAACTCTGTGTCCCCAGTATTGGGGGCAGCGTCCACACAGTCCCCAGCTCCCTCCAGACTTACGCTTGGGGACGAGCTAGGGATTAGAGTGATGTTTTCTTTTCTTTTCTTTTTAAGATTTTTTTTTTATATTTATTTGACACAGAGAGAGATCATAATTAGGCAGAGGCAGGCAGGGAGAGAGGGGGAGGCAGGCTTCCCGCTGAGCAGAGAGCCCGATGCTGGGCTCGATCTCAGGACACTGGGATCATGACCTGAGCCGAAGGCAGAAGCTTAACCATCTGAGCCACCCAAGTGTCCCTAGAAACACGTTTTCTAAGTCAGAGTTAATATTTGGAAACAGCTTACGCCAGCAAAATTGGGGTAATGATGGTCATTCATACAATCTCATTCTACACAGGGTTCCCAAGAGGGGACGCTCAGTGCTTAGCGTGCGGGTGAGGGCCAGGGGTTCCCCATTCTGTGGAGTGGACCCTAACCCAGCAGATGCCTGCAGGCTCTCTGTATCTGCAGTGATGCAGGGACAGCTGGCCCCTTGGGAGCTGCCTGGGCAGAGGGTGGAGTGTGGTCAGCTGTGGGAGCTCTTGGCTGCTCAGGCCGGTGATCACTGGACCCTGCTACCCCATGCCCGCCAGGAGCTGCTCCAGAGCGGTGGAGGGACCGGGGCTGGGGATGCTTTCAGTGGTTAAACGCAGGAGGAAAGAAGCTTTTTGCAAACAGCACTGTCATTCAGGTGAAGAGCTGCGTTCCGCTGCTATCTGAAAGCAGACCGCTATTTATGAGCCGCAAGAAAAAGTGTCTGAGCCTCGTCGTGCGGGTTATTTACTTATAAAACAGAGCTCCTGTTTCTGGCGTTGTTGCGATACCAGTATTAACGGCCTCATTAACAGAATTAAAACATCAGTGCTTCTTTCATTAACATAAAACCTAAGGGGGGCCTAGGGGGCTCAGTGGGTTAAAGCCTTTGCCTTCCACTCAGGTTGTGGTTCCGGAGTCCTGGGATCGAGCCCCTCATTGGGCTCTGCTCAGTGGGGAGCCTGCTCCCCCCCTCCCCTCTGCCTGCCTCTCTGCCTACTTGTGATCGCTGTCAAATAAATAAATAAAACCTAAAAATAAAGAAAGAAATAAAACGTAAGTATCATGTGACGAAGCTTACTGCCCTTGGTACTGAGCGGGCTACTTTCCCAGAGGACTCCACATCTACTGGGGACAGCCACCTCCCCTCAGAGACCTGGGATGGTCACTGCAGAGTGGTGTTGTGTGAGAGTTAGGAATCCACAGGCACTAAAAACTAATACACGTTTCCTGATTATCCAGTGTATCGTTCTCCGTGTGAGCATTGCATGGGTGTAGAGGTCTGATTACGCAGAGCTTTCTCTGGGGCTCTGGTCCCACCCCAGCCGGCACCCTGAATTCTCCGTGCAAAGTGTGTGCCTTCATGTCACAGGCCCCAGCCTCCCCAGGGCCCCGGAGCCCAGAGCGCGGCAGCTTCCCTCGCCCAGCGGGAGCACCGACCGTACCAGCTGTCAGCAGCTCCTCTCCCCGACTCCCGGAGCTCTTTGGAGGGGAAACCCGGTAAAATGTCGAGGTGTCTGATGGACCTCACTCTCGTAGTTTGTAAATATTGGGAAAGGTCTGGAAGAAAAACCGTCAACACCATTTTGTAAGCCAGAACATGGTGGTGCTGGAGAAGACGAAGCCGATGACGGTTTACCTGGGGCCGTTCACGGCTGATCTTCTCAGGAGGGATGCAGGGTTCTCTGTGACGCAGGAGCCGGGACCGTGATGATAAGCTGATGTTCGAAACAACGGTGTGTGTTATTTGGGGGGGTTGTAATTAAAATGATTCGGTGTGGAATCCTTTATGGCAAAATCAAACTGCTCTTTATATTATTTTTGAATGGGTTGTCATAGAAACAGAACGAAAAGAAATTGGTTTTTTGTCCAGATTTCTGCTTACTCTTTGTCTTCTTAAAACAGTAATTTCACTGAATGAACAAAAAAGGAGAATCCTAAACGTTTCATTACAGGACCCTCCTCGGAGGGCCTTGACCCCCGGTGGGTGAGGGTCTGGAGTCGGTGCTCCGAGCACCGGTTGCCTTGAGTGGACAGGGTCACTGCCCAGATAGAGCGAGTGTCTCTCCAGGAACCTGAGAAGGAAGAATGAGATATTGTAAAGGAAGGTTTTAATCCGGGGCATCTCCCAAACGTAAATTATCTAGAGAGGCGCGTGCTGGGAGTTGAACTGCTGTGGCCGGCTCAGCATTCACGCCGCGAGGCCGTGCGGAGGGTGTGAACGAGAGAGGGTTCGAAGTAGTGGCTCTGGTTCGTCTGCTCTCTTCTGCTGCCAGTGTTCAGAACGAAGAGAAACAGCTCGCCCAATCATCAGCGCTTTTCTTGTGTCATTTGGATCGAGGGGTCTGTGAGCTGAAAATGGCTGAGGGCAGTAAAACGCAGAGGCAGAAGGAGGACGCGAAACCGCAGGCCTGAGTTGGCCGTCAGTCAGCCGGTCAGCCCTGGAATCGGGCCGCATTGGTGCCGCGGGCCGTTCGGACCAGCCTCGTGCGTGCTGTGCCCGGTTACGTTGGGCAGCAGTGTGCTGAGTGTCCTGGACTGGGAGCAGGGTCTCTGTCCGCCTCCGCGCCTGGACTCAGTTCCATGTCAGTGGAGTAGTGAGGCCGGGGAGGGGGCCACTACTGTGCCCCCCAGCAGCACAGAGGCGGCACCTGTCAGGCACCTGCAGACCCAGATGAGGCCCATCGCTGCCTCGGCATGGACGTGATCGCCTTCCGGCCGCACGGACTAAAACTCCTCTGTTCCTCTGCCCAGGTCACGATCCCGGTCCCCTCGGAGAAGAGCACATTCTCCCGAGAGACGGAGGGAAGAAAGGAGTGTCCCCACTGCCTACCGGATGAGTAACAGCCCAGGCGTCAGCAGGAAGCGGACCCGGTCCAGGTAGGCAGCTAGTCCATAGACACGGTCTGTGGTGCCGGGCATGCAAACGTGTGTCCGCAGGGCTGGCACGAGCCGGGGACGCGGCCCTCGGCAGACACTCAGCCCCTGGCAGCTCCTCTGTTCCTCCTGGAGCTGACTGCAGAGGGACCTCTGTGTCCCTGGGGTCAGGATGGCATCGGGCAGTGCCCAGCACCAGCCCCCGGGGTCTAGCTACCCTGCCGGACCCGCACACACAGATGAAAGGAGAGAAGTTTGAGTCCCAAGTGAGTCCCTGCCACTCCCGGGCTAGCAGGTGCTGTGGGCAGGACCACAGAGTCCTCCCGGGCTGAGAGCAGAGAGAGCTCCTCCCCTTGACAGCTGTCATGGTCGCGGGATGCTAGAGAGACCGGCTGCCGTGTCCTCTACGGTAGGCCTCTCAGCCAGGACGCCTGGCCCCCAGCCTCCGACTCCCAGCCCGCCGGCGTCCCCAGCCCCTCCAGTGAGAGAGCAGCACCAAGTCACAGCACGGAAAGTCCTGGTACCCCGCCCCCGTGACGGGACACGTCTGGGCCGTGTGGGCCTGTCTGGGGCCTGCTGGCATGCCTGCCAAGCATGGTGGTGGACGGGGCTGCCCCTAGGTGTTTCCATCTCAGCGATAGGGCACTGCAAGAGCATTATCTCGCATGGGGGCTGCCACCCCACGGCCTCCCATCACTCATTGTTCCTTTCTCCCCGAAGGGAGGAGCTCTCATTTCTCGTGTCATTGCATGGGAGCGTTGCCCGAGCCCCGGCTCAGGTAGCTGGGCGGGGAGCATCGTTGTCCCCGTGACATACCGGCCCAGAGGAGGCGGGGGCAGGGGGTTGTGCGCGTCTTTGCTCCGGTTTCGTGACTGCTTACGCATGTATGTGAGTTGGGACACTTGGGGTTCCCGAGCCTCCCAGACAACACACCTGAATGGCAGGTGTCAGGGGCCCTGCCCTCCCCAGGTCCTCCCTGTCTGCAGAGGACACAGGTCGAGCGGCCTCAGGGGCCCCTTTGCAGCGGGACTTATCGTGGCCACAGCTCTGGAAAGACGTTCCTAACGGGGAAGCGGGCCTGCAGTCTGCTCGCTGGCAAAGTGTGATCTTTCTCTGGAAGCCGCGAGGTCTGGGCAGGGGTGCAGGCGGCAGAGCCGGCAGATGGGCTCGCCTCGCAGGCCGAGTGCGCTCTGCCCGGGGCCCTGCTCCCACAGGAGGCGCCCGCCCTGGCCCGGACCGCGTGATGGGCTCCAGGTCCACCTCCCGTTGTACTCCTTGACCTTGTCACTGTTGAACATTTGAAATTCATGGTCACCTCTGGTGTATGTAAAGGACATGGTCTAAAATTAATTCCTGCAACAGAAGATCTCTCCCCACAGAAGCATTCTGGCTTTGGCCTCAAATTAACCTTTGCGTTCAAGGAGCCGCCTCAGGAGAAGGCGGCGGTTCTGTCAGGAATGTGAGAACGTGTGTGATCGCTGGAGCTTTAACGAGTTGTGCGAAAGCGAGTGAAGGCTCCACCGACCACAGAGCCGCACTCCCTGCCCGATCGGGTGGGATTCCCCCGAGCGCCCGACTCTGGGCAGTGGGAGGCTGCGCCGGGTCCAGTGGGGCCAGGAGAGGGCACGTGTGCAAGCCCGTGAACCCAGCAGTCACCGCTCCCCTGCAGCCTTCCATGCAGAGCAGGGGTGAGGCCGCTCCTTTCCCGTGGCAGCAGGGGGCCCGTTCAGCCCCCGAGTTGAAGGATCATCTCTACAAGGTGATCTCTGAGTGCCCCTTTCACTGACTTCCTGTTTCAAAATTTTTTTGGTTTACTAGATAGTTTTACACTCACCGTTGAAAACAGTGCAGGGGGCGTGCATGTGCGCGTGTCAGCCTGACTGAGCAGGATCAGAGTGCTTCCACCGGCCACCTCTCCTTCCCTCCCGACCTCTCCTGCCCCTGCCTGTGTGTCCCGTGACTTGGACTTGTCTTACTGTGTGACCGTGGCTGGGTTCGTGGGAAACATTTTGGCAGGAGCACCACAAAAGTGACATGTCACTTCCTTTGTGTCCACCAGCTGCCTGTCCCATTGTCAGTGATGCTGCACACCCCACACAGGTTGTCAGACAATGGCACCAAGATGCCGTGCGAACACCCCACTGGCCTTAGCGTTCACTGACGCAAAACTGGTTCACACAGTGGTCACGGCCAAGTGGTGCCTTTCAGATTCTGTCTTCTTCTCTACAGAAGATACACGCCCCTCGCTTTTGTGTCACTGTGGACTTTTGGTTTGGGGTTTTGTGTTTTTGTCGGTGCCGCACGAATCCATCGCCAGTGTAGCTCTGACGGCGACATCCACCCCACATGTGGCCCCATGGTTCTTGAAGCACTTTGTTGCTTTTTGGCCCCAAATATTCCAGGCCTTGCCAGTGCTTTCCCTGCCCCAGCACGGGGGTCTGCTCTTTGTCCAAGGATCCTTGGTTCCTTGTACTGAGCTTTTGAAGATCAAGATGTGGTTATAGTGAACTTTTTTAAAGAGTAGAATCCATGCAAATGGCCACATCGTACCACGGCACACCTCGCAGGGCCCCTGTCCTCTTATTAGAGTGAGTAGTACGTGGTTGCTCCGGCTGGTTGGCCACCGACCACTTTCGCTTAGCGCTGCACCGGGCACGTCCGTGAGCATCGAGTGACACCCGCCGTGGCAGGCTCTTACATGCTATGTGTTGCCCATCGACAGTAGACCTCGTCAGCGAAGCCCACGTGTCTTCATTCCCTAGGGCAGCCGCTGCAAAGGAAAAGGAGTTAAAAGCCAGGAGAGGACATAAGGCAGAACCTTAAAATTGCTTGAAGAGGGACGCCTGGGTGGCTCAGTGGGTTAAGCCTCTGCCTTCGGCTCAGGTCATGATCTCAGGTTCTTGGGGTCGAACCCCGCATCGGGCTCCCTGCTCCACGGGGGTTCTGCTTCCTCCTCTCCCTCTGCCCCTCCCCCTGCTCATTCTCTCTCTCTCTCTGTCTCTCTCTCTCAGGTAAATAAATGAAATCTTTAAAAAAAAAAAAAAGTGGGGAAGGAGAGGGAAAAGTGAATGGACAACAGAAAACAAGAGGAACGTAGGCTCAGCACAGCCCTTGCAAACCCATGTGTTGAGTGCCGGCAGACGAAGAATAATGACAGGACAGAGGGTTTAGACTGAGCTACAACAAAACCGAATGCTAAGCTGCTTGCAGAGAGGTTTTCAGTGTGCAAGTAGGTTGAAATGAAAAGACGGGGAGAGAGAAGCATGCCGTGTTCTGAGCAGAAGGGCAGGGTGGCCGCGCCGACGGGAGGTGCTGCAGAGGGGGCCAGCCTCATGCCTACGGGCTCCTCTGGGAAGGCCCCCCGCGGAAGCACTTTCAGATGCTTGCAGCAGGGTGCCTGGATGGCCCAGTCCGCTGAGCTTCCGAATCTTGATTTCAGCTCAGGCCCTCATCTCTCAGGGTTGTGAGATGGAGCCCCATGGCGGTCTCCGTGCCGGGCGTGGAGTCTGCTTAAGATTCTCTCTCTCGGGGCACCTGGGTGGCTCAGTGGGTTAAGCCCCTGCCTTCGGCTCAGGTCATGGTCTCAGGGTCCTGCGATCGAGCCCCGCATCGGACTCTCTGCTGAGCAGGGAGCCTGCTTTTTCCTCTCTCTCTGCCTGCCTCTCTGCCTACTTGTGATCTCTGTCTGTCAAATAAATAAATAAATAAAATCTTTTTAAAAAAAAAGATTCTCTCTTTCCCTCTGCCCCGCCCCGACTCGGGTGTGCACACTCTCTCACGCTCTCTTTCTCTTTCTCTCAAAAAAACTAAGTAGAGGGACACCTGGGTGGCTCAGTGGGTTAAGCCTCTGCTTTTGGCTTGGGTCATGATCTCAGGGTCCTGGGATCGAGTCCCGCATCAGGCTCTCTGCTCGGCGGGGAGCCTGCTTCCCCCTCTCTCTCTCTGCCTGCCTCTCTGCCTACTTGTGATTTCTGTCTGTCAAATAAATAAATAAAATCTTAAAAAAAAAAAAAACTAAGTAGAAGGGGCGCCTGGGTGGCTCAGTTAAGCCTCTGCCTTCAGCTCAGGTCATGATCTCAGGGTCCTGGGGTCCAGTCTCTAATCAGGCTCCTTGCTCCACAGGGAGCCTGCTTCTCCCCCTGCCTGCTCTGCGCGCCGCCCCCCCACCTTGTGCTCTCTCGCTCGCTCAGTCTGACACATGAGTAAGACAAAATAGTAAGAAGAAGAAATAAAATACTTGAAGCAACACTGAGAGAACTGGGGACAGGCAGACAGCCGGACCGTGCAGATACGGAAGCCGTACACAGCCGCACGCTAGCTCGTCCACCGTGCTGTTGCACAAGGCTCTGCAAGTCCCTGGAGACTCAGAACGTGCAGGCTGTGTTCCCTTACCATGTGGCCGCAAGTCTAAAAATCGATAAAAAGATAACCTGGAAAATCCCCAAATGTTGGGAAGTTAGTACATTTTTAAATTACCCGTAGGTCAAAGACAAAATCACGAGGAAAAGAAAATATTTTTAAATGATAGTGAAAACGTTACAGCCAAATCTGTGGGCTCATTTGGCTAGAAGGAAGTTAGTAGCTTTACATGTTTGTATCAGGGAAGAAAAAAGGTCTAAGAATAATGATCTAATCTTCTATCTTAAGCTAGAAAAATAAATAAAATCTTCAAAAAAAGAACCTAGAAAAATAACAAATTAAACCCAAAGTAGGTAGAAGCAAAGAAATAATAAAGGTAAGATCAGAAATCAAGAAAATAGAGGCGCCTGGGTGGCTCAGTGGGTTAAGCCTCTGCCTTCGGCTCAGGTCATGATCTCAGGGTCCTGGGATCGAGCCCCGCATCCGGCTCTCTGCTCAGTGGGGAGCCTGCTTCCTCCTCTCTCTGCCTGCTTCTCTGCCTACTTGTGATCTCTGTCTGCCAAATACATAAATAAAAACTTAAAAAAAAAAAAAGAAATCAGGAAAATAGAAAAATGCATATCTTAAAATTTGTGTGGAACAAAAGATCCCGATTGTCAAAGCAATCAGAAAAAAACACAAAACAAAGTTGGGGGCATCACAATTCCAGACTTCAAGCTCTACTACAAAGCTGTCATCATCAAGACCGTATGATACTGGCCCAAAAACAGACACAGAGATCCATGGAACAAAACAGAGAGCCCAGAAGTGGACCCTCCACTCTATGGTCAACTAATCTCCGACAAAGCAGGAAAGAACATCCCGTGGAAGAGGGACAGTCTCTTCAATAAATGGTGCTGAACAGGGGACAGCTACATGCAGAAGAATGAAACTGGACCATTTGCTGACACTACACACAAGAACAGACTCAAAATGGATGAAAGACCTCAGTGTGAGACAGGAAGCCATCCAAATCCCAGAGGAGAACACAGGCAGCAACCTCTGTGACCTCAGCCTTAGCAACATCCTCCTAGAAACATCACCAAAAGCAAGGGAAACAAAGGCAAAAATGAGCTATTGGGACATCATCAAGATCAAAAGCTTTTGCACAGCAAAGGAAAAAGTCGACAAAACCAAAAGACAAACGACAGAATGGGAGAAGATACTTGCAAATGACGTATCAGATAAAGGGCTAGTATCCAAAATCTGTCAAGAACTGATACAATTTAACACCTCCCCCCAAAAAAAATAATCCAATTTAAAGCTGGGCAGAAGGGTACCATGGTGGCTTGGTTAAGCATCTGACTGTCTCTCTCTCCTTTTTTTTTTTTTTTAAAGCATCTGACTCTTGATCTCAGCTCAGGTCTTGATGTCTTGATCTCAAGGTCATGAGTTCAAGCCATATCAGAAGCACAGTGAGATCGCACCTCACACCTGTCACAATGGCCAAAACTAACAAGACAAGAAACGAATGGCGAGGATGCAGAGAAAGGGGAACCGTCCTGCACTGCTGGTGGGAACGCGTGCTGGTGCAGCCACTCTGGAAACCAGCATGGAGGGTCCTCAGGATGTTAAATATAGAAAAAATTACAATCGGGCCATCTCATTATTGGGTATTTACCCAGAGAAAATGAAAATCCTGACGAGACGATGTGTGCGCCCGTATTTATCGCATCAGTATTTGCAACAGCTGAACCAGAAGAAGCTGCTCCCGCTGGCCGATGAGTGGATGGAGGAGGCGCGGTCTGTACCGGGGAATGTTGCACGGCCATCGAAGAGGAATGAACTCTTGCCATTTGCAGTGACATGGATGGGGCTAGAGGGTGTTGTGCTGAGCGACGTAAGTCAGAGCAAGACGACTGCCGCAGGATTTTACTCGTCTGTGGAATTGCAGAAGCGAGCAGACCCACAGTGCAGAGAACAAGCGGGATGCCGCCGCCGGGGCCCTGGAGGTCGTGGGCTGAAGGCCCAGCACAGGGAGTCCAGTCAGAGTTGTTGGTGACAAAGGGTGGCTGCACTTGTGAGCACAGTGTCACGCACTCGCGTGGGGGCTGGAAACTAGCGTAACACTGTGTGTCGTCTGTACGTGACCTCTTTTAAAGAGAGGAGGGGAGAGAGTAGGAAACAGACTAACGGTAAAGCTGAATAATGGCTCTTTGAAAATGGTCAAGGGGCGCCTGGGTGGCTCAGTGGGTTAAAGCCTCTGCCTTCAGCTCAGGTCATGATCCCAGGGTTCTGGGATCGCGTCCCGCGTCGGGCTCTCTGCTCAGCAGGAAACCTGCTTCCTCCTCTCTCTGGCTGCTTCTCTGCCTACTTATGATCTCGTCAAATAAATAAATAAATCTTTTAAAAAAAGAAAAGAAAAGAAAATGGTCAAAAACCAGTGTCTTCCTTTAGATTGATCAAGAGTGAAGGAGCCTACAGACGTTAAAAGGAGAATATGGAAATTTGTTTCTAGTTAGTTTGGCAGCTTGGGTGAAGTGGACGAGTTCCTGAAAGATACAAGTGACCACGCTGTCACCAGAAGAAATAAAAATTCTGAATAACCGTGTCTGCCAAAGAATGTATGTACCGTTTAAAACCACCGGACTCCAGGCCCAGATGACTTCCGTCATTAAACTCTGACAAGTGTTCAAGGGCGAGGAGAGACCAGTTTACAGACCATCTTGAAAGAACACGGGGAGCGCTTGGCAGTTTACGGTGCGAGGCTCCGTGGCGGGGGCTCCTGCAGACCGAGGCCGGCGGGCGTGTCGGGGGCGTGCACTGTGCAGACGGGCATGTGTGTTCATAGACCAAAATGCTCAGGGACAGAGGTGGGGAGACCTACGGGGTGTCTGCAATCTGCGCCCAGCAGCGTAGTGCAAGGAGACGCGTCCCGGCTGAGTGGGTCTGTCTGAGGACTGCGAGGTCCGTTACCGTCCACCGGCAACCCTGGTGAGTCACTGTTCAGAGTCAGGGAGGAAAGTCCCAGGACGTCCCAGCAGAGGCAGGAGAGCTGTCGGACACACGCTTCACCGTTCACCAAGAAGAAAACAAGGAGGGGCGCCTGGGTGGCTCAAATGGTTAAGCATCTGCCTTCAACTCAGGTCATGAACCCGGAGGCCTGAGATCGAGCCCTGCTTCGGGCTCCCTGCTCAGTGGGATCCTGCTTCTCCCTCCCTGCTTGTGCTCTCTCCTGCTATCTATGTCACTGTTTTCCTCTCAAATAAATAAATAAAATCTCTTAAAAAAAAAGAAAGAAAACAAGGAGACACAGCTCTGAGCAAAGGGAGTCGGAGGAAGCGTCCGGCGGGGATGGGGGCGTGCTGGCCGCCCCCAGGACCAGCAGCCGGCCGCCAAGACAGCGGGGCGAGAACAGGGCAGAAAGGCAGGAGGACTGGAAAGGAAGTGTTTCCTTCTGCGATCCAGCCTGGAACAGTGGGGAAGGTGACCATAGCCATACCCACATCGACTTCTCTATACTGAAAGCCGCCAACATTTTCGAGAAATCTAAGAACCGGAAGTACACAGAGAGCCCGTGTTTATGGATGGAAGGTCGGCGTCCCTCAGGTTTCTTCTCCCTGAACTGACCTGTCCATGCCGTGCCGCCCCGGCAGGACTGCGCGGGCAGACGGGACGCTCATGTGTGCGCAGGGGGACCTGGAGTGGGCACCACGGTCTCACAGAAGGGCAGGCTTGGGAGGCACTCCCTGCCCGCTCCCCACTCGAGCTTCCCGGGGAGGCCACGAGCTGACGCCCTGAAGCAGCAGGGACGCCAGCAGGTTGGGACGAGCGCTGTGCCCTGGACCTCGCTCCCGCGGCCGGCTGTCCCGGCTGTCCGAAGGGAGGACGGCGCGGTCCGCAGGCACACAGCTGAGCTCAGGGAGGGTCCCGCACTCCCGGAAGTCCCCGCCAGCCGAGAAGCCCGCCCGGAGGGAGGAGAGCGCTGGCGGCGTGTGTCTCTGCCAAGGGCCCGTGTCCGTTAGAAGCAACCCAACCGAGGAGCCAGCGGTGACCAGAGTTGAGGAAACAGTCCACGGACGCGGCCTCTGGACTTGGCCTCTGAAGAGCGGCCGAGCGCGCTGGCCTCTTTCAGGTTCGGCGCGGGGTGGCCTCAGCGGGGACCGGCGATGGGGTCGTGGGGCTCCGGGAGCAGCGGGCCGCTTCCTGGGACACCGAGCACTGGCCCCACTGCCCCGCGGTCCTTCCCGCCGCTCACCCGCCGGGAACATTCGTCCTCGGGAGGACCTGATCTGTCACTGCCACAGCGGGCAGCAGAGCACACGTCTGCGCCTGCGAGAGAGCACAGTCGTGGTAGCAGGTCACGCGCTCCTCGGCGCGCCCGAGTGTCCGACAGCTTCCTCGGTGTGCACGCGTGCCTCTGTGTGAGAGCACTGTGGGGAGCCTGGGGGCAGCGCGGACGGGCATGTGGACAGGCCGTGGGGTCGCCAGGTGGGGAAGGGTCCGGGAGCCGCTCTGCCTTTCAGAGGCGCCGAGCAGAGTGGGCCATGTGGGCTGGCCCTGGACGTCGAGCTCGTGAAGACACACAGGTGCCTGCCGTCGTGAGTCCCATCACCCACAGGACCCACGTGGGCACATGGGAGGGTCTCACGACGGCACCGACTGCACATAGACCGTCCGGCAAGTACTCGGTCGCCTCCCGGTCACGTGTCTGTCATGTGTGAGGGGCACAGTTTGAAAACAGCAATGACCATCGTTTCCGGAGGAAACAGAGAGGCCAAGAGCAGGGAGGCCCAGTACCCATCTGGACCTCCCATATATGTTCTTTCTCCTCCTGAAATGTTCTCTGGGGAGTCACAGGAGGGTCACAGGGCAGTGTGTGCACTGGAGCTTTGCTGGCCGGAGTGTGGGGAGCAGGCTGTGTCTGCAAGGGGCGAGGGATGGAGGGCCCTGGAGGGGGACGTGGGCTGAGTCAGCTGCTGGGCGAGCAGGGACGGGCCCTGCAGTCCCAAGGAGCGCAGGTCAGGGAGCAAGAGCTGCTGTACGCACGGCCCCGGCTGTGATCCTCCCCATGTTGCACGAGGAGTCGTCCTCACGTCTGTGTGCAGACAGGCAGCGTGAACGGCACTTGGTGACTCTTCTTCAGTTTTTTTTTTGTTTTGTTTTAAGATTTTTATTTATTTATTTGACAGAGAGATCACAAGTAGGCAGAGAGGCAGGCAGAGAGAGAGGGGGAAGCAGGCTCGCCGCCAAGCAGAGAGCCCGATGCGGGGCTCAATCCCAGGACCCTGGGATCATGACCTGAGCCGAAGGCAGAGGCTTTAACCCACTGAGCCACCCAGGCGCCCCTCTTCTTCAGTTTTTTAAATGCAGATAAAGTGCTGACCGTGTTTCAAACCCCACAGGCCTCTTGAAATGGACAGACCTCCTACTGGGGAGGGAGAGGGGCTTCCTTCCGTGTGTGTGACTTGCTGCATCTGTCAGTTGCGAGCTAAGTAAAACGTGCACAGCTTTCAAAAGGAGTTAGCCAACCCCACCAGCTGGCCCTGGGAAGACGCTCGAAACCGCTCCTCCGGAGCCTGTTGTGTCTTGGTCTGAAGCCACTTTCCTTGCAGAAGCCCCCACGAGAAGAAGAAGAAGAGGCGCTCGCGGTCCCGGACCGAGTCCAAGGCTGGGTCCCAGTCGGCATCCCCGAGCAAGCAGGCCACACGCCGGCACACGGCCCACTCGGCCAGCATCTCTCCCGTGGAGAGTCGGGGCTCCAGCCAGGAGCGCTCCAGGTAAGCCCATCCTGAGCCCGGCCTGGGCTCTCCGCACGCGGCTGCTCGGAACTGGGCTCAGGCCTCGGGAGCACTGGTCTGGAAGCTGCCCCCATGCCCTGGCTCTAGCAGAGGGAGTCCCCGCCCAGTGGCCCTCTCCGTGGCGGTCCCCGGGGTGGGCCGGCCACCCCCCCAGGTGCTGGCTAGAGGACTCCCCACTGTCTGATCCACTGGGACATGGTGCCTGGTGTGACCACAGCTGTTCTGAAACCACCAACAATGGCGCCTTTGTCCTCAGCAAGGGCCGCCTGGGGCGGGCGTGGCCCCAGCTGCAGAGCCCGGCCTGATCCCGGAGTCAGCAGGCGTGGGGGTCGGTGGTGAGTGGGACCCAGCCCAGTCACCCCACTGCCCCAGGCCACAGGAGTCAGGGGTTGAACACCAGAGTCCACAGCTGTCGTCACGTGAGCAGCCTGCCAGTGGCACGGGTGTACGTGTCCTCGATGCCTGTGGCCGTCAGGAAGCATTTGCTAGATGCCCCTGCCGCCCGCCCACCCAGAGCTGGGCAGGGGCTCCAGAGCCGGTGGTTCCAGAGCGAGGCTCCGTCATTATTGGTTACGGACCCGCTGTCTTCGTCCATGTGGGTCGCGGGCCCTGAAACTAGAGGACGGGTTCGTAGGTAGCAGGCGTACAGCCAGCTCCCAGGGTGGGTCGCGACCTGAGACGTGGCTCTGCGGGTGTAGGTTGAGGAGTGTGTGGCGGCCGCTGAGGCCAGACTCAGGCACGCGACCTGGAGCGCCCGTGGCCACGGGGTCGCCAGTCTGAGCACCTCCAGCTTCCGCCACTTCCGTCCTGTTCTCATCATCACTACCTGTGGCTCACAGGGTGTTCACGGGAAATGCTCTCGGAATTAGGCTGCAGTTTACAAAAAGTTTCAAACATCTGTAACGTGAAACGTGAACGCAAAATACGTATTTTTAACATTGGCATCTTTAAACACGCTAGTAACAGTTAGCGACAGCACGTCTAAGTGTTTTTCAAGTCTGTGATCTCTCTCTGTTCACATTAGGGGAGTTTCTCAGGAAAAAGATGGCCAGATCTCCTCGGCAATTGTCTCCTCCGTGCAGAGCAAAATAACTCAGGTAAAGTGGCACCCCCTTCTCCGGGAGGCTGGCTTTCCCTCAGCGTCCCCAACCAGGCCGTCCCACCGACGTGTTTGTACCCGCCGTCCGCATGCCGGGTCTGAGCGGGAAGCCACAGGGACCCCGTGCATTTCTCCGTGCAGGATCTCATGGCCAAAGTGAGGGCGATGCTCGCCGCTTCCAAGAACATGCAGACCAGTGCCTCCTGAGACGCGGGCATCACGCCGGCCCAGCGCCGGGCTGCGGGGCTGGAGAGCCAGGACACTTCCGCACGCACAGACCCGTCCCACGCCGTCCGCATTCTCCCCCAGGACTCCCCTGGGCAGTTGGTGGTTTTTGTAAATTAATTTTTGATGACATTTTCAGTTTAAGATTTTTGACCAGCAGTCTCTTACCTGTATATTTGTAAATAATATCATGTTTCTGTGAAAATGTATTATCAAATAAAATGGGAGGAAAACACCTTTTCTAGCTAGCGACTGTGGGGCGGATTCTTCCTTATTTGGCTGTGAGTGCGTTTTCACCATTTGTCACCTGTCCTGGGTCTCCTGTCGCGTCCTGACAGAGGTGGCGGCCTGGCGGCAATGGGCAGACACCTCCCAGCCCGGGCAGCAGGAGGAGCAGGCGCCCGCGGTCCCTCCTGAGCCGCCCCCACATCCTCTGCGGAGACCGCGCGTCTCCACCTGAGCCCTGCGCAGCTCAGCCCCCCGGTTCCTGGCGCTGGGCAGGCATCCACCCTCGGGCAGGAAAGTGCGGACTCGCTGCCTCGCCCAGGGTCTCAGGCACTGTGGGTGCCAGCAGGCCGGGTCGTGCGGGAGACACTGTTCCTGGTCCAATTTTAGTCAAAACACCACAAACACGAGGGCTTACCGGCAGTGGCCCGAGGTTCGGAACGGCGTTGCAGCAGTCTGCTGCCCGTGCACACGCCCCACCTGTCCGTGGCCCAGTCCCCAGGGTTCCGCCTGCTTCCCCGGAGCTCCTTCTGCCCCAGATGGGAGGGGCCGGCGGCGGGTCTTTGGGGGCCCCCAGCCCGGGGGACGGGTGCAGAGCAGAGGAGGAAGCCCCCGTCCACTGCCAGGTGTCCGTCCAGATGTGTGCGCCCACTGGCCAGCATCTGGACACTCACCACTCAGCCTCACATACTGCTCTGGGCTCCGTCCTCTGAGCCTTCCAGACGCACCACGGTGGCTCGCAGGGACTGGCCCTGCCCCGTCTCGGCTCACCAGTCCTGCTGCTGTCCCCCACTGGAGTGCGCCAGGAGTTAGCCTGTGGCCTGCTGGCGGCTTTACCTGCAGAGTGGGTCCCTGGCTGTGCGAGGACGGTCGCAGCTTTGAGTTCGTGGGAACACGTGCTGTCCGGAAAGCTCTTCCCCAACCTGTCTGCGTGCCCTTGTGCTCCCTCCCCAGGGCAGTGTGACCTCAGACGCTGTCTCTGATGTGTCATTTCTTCATCAGGGGTGACATGGAGCAGCTTCTCTCCGAAACATCCACTTGTGTTTTCTTCTGCCAAGCAGACCCTGTGGCTGGGCTGCCCGTCACTCAGCGTCTGCCTGCGTCCCAGCGCTCCAAGTGTCCCGCTGAGTCCTTTCTGCACCGTTTATTTTTAAGTCATTTTTTTCTAATTTGTCCCTTGTTTTCGGTTGCAGGTCCCGTGTTTCTGTGCAGACATTGCTTATATGGTACCTGTTTTTCTCGTGGCCTCGGGCAGGCCCTTGCTTTGTCCCTCGTTCCTTGTCCACGGGCGCCGTTCAGCCGTGTCCTTTCCCCTTGAAGGAGCGGGAAGCAAGTGTGGATGGGGAGGGAGTTGCTGGGGCTGACACAGCAGGACAGCCGCGGCGCTCAGCATAGGCCCTGTGTCCCCAGCGGTGCCTGCGGTCGGTCGGACCCCGTCTGACTTGGCTTCTGGGAGCGCGCCAGGGATACCCCGGCTTTGCATAGACACTAGCAGCGTGCCCCGGAGAGCCCACCAGACAGGCACGAGCCATGGGGATTGTGCTTGGGGGCCGTCACACAAGGGGACATGCGGAGGGCCCCACACACAGGCTTCCTGGCCCTCCCAGGTCCCCTGCTGAGCCTCCACCATGCGCTGGCTGCACAGGGGGGTGCCGGGACACGGGCCGTGTGGTGGGACACGTCTGTCATTCTGCCCCACCATCGCTGAGCCCGCGTGCCAGCCCCAGGCTGTCGTGCTCTGTGGGACGGGAGAGGTAGCCACAGCACCCCTGCCCTCCCGGTCTGTGCCCCCCGCCCGACACACTGCCCTCCTGCTCCACATGGGACGGCTTCCACGCAGTCCACCACAGAGGACAGTGCCATCGGCGTTGGGTCAAGAGTTTTCCCCGTTTAGAAAGATTCTCTCATGATGAATTTGCCGTATTTTTACTGGATTTTTAAAAAATATTTATTTATTTGATAGGCAGGCAGAGAGAGAGGAGGAAGCAGGCTCCCCGCTGAGCAGAGAGCCCCATGCGGGCCTCCATCCCAGGACCCTGAGATCATGACCCGAGCCGAAGGCAGAGGCTTAACCTAACCCACTGAGCCCCCCAGGCGCCCTTTACTGGATTTATTTTTAAGGCTCTTAAAAATGGGCCAGTAAAATTGTTCTCCAGAACCTCTTGCTGCCTGTTTGCGGCGCAGCCCGATGCTCCGGCAGATTCCCGGCACTCTCCGGAGCTGCTGGGAGGGCCCCTGACAGAGCCGCGGAGCCGGCGGGCGGTGGGAAGGACCCGGAACAGGGGCGCCCCAGCAGGCGCTTTCCAGCAACACTGGGGGGTTGGCGTGAGCGACCCGTTCACCCTGGTGCACCCTCCCGCGCCCCTGCACAGACACGGGCAGACCTGCTCTTGGCTGTCCGGCCTCTCCCGCGGCCGTCCTCACACCCGAGGGGGCGCGTCACCGGCCAGCGTCCTCTCCGGCTGGGGTGACCGTTGCCTTGGAACGATTTTGTATCTGACCGTGAACCTCTCCCGTGGTGTCTTCTTAATGAACGTTGCGGCACAGCTGTCGGCGCGCGTGAGAGCGAGGGCCACCCAACACAGTGCTCTGCGGTGGGCCTGACCCAGCGTGGCCCATGCGTCGCGATGTGGGGGCTGGAGTGGGCCGCAGCCTGCAGATCACCTTCCCTTCTGCCCGCCCCCACTGACGGCATCTTCAGTCCTGTGGGCTGGAGCCCGGTGCCGCAGGACCTCCCGCAAGGGACCCCGAGCGCCCCAGTGGCTCCCTAGGGCCCAGGGGATAGGCAGCTGTGCGAGCCCACGGAGCCCAGGAGCGGCAGCCCTTCTCGGGCTTTTCCAACGGTCGGGATCCAAGCTCTAGCCCAGGCTTTCGGGGGGCATGGCACAGCATGGCCCCCAGGCGGGAGCGGACGAAGCCCGTGGGAACAAGCCAGCCCCCCCAGGACATCGGGCGCTGCTGTCCAAAGAAGGTGGGAAGGACTCAGGCTTCCAAGAACCAACGGTTCACCGCATCATCCAAGAAACCAGGTCTCCACGAGCTGCTCAGCCTTCACAGGACTTGCCGGGCGGACGGCCAACACTGTCTTTCTGTCTTAAGCAGTGGTGTGAGGTCGGCGTCGAGTGGGCTGTACAGAGAAGGCGAGCGAGGGGGCGTCTCTGAGGCGCTGGCAGGGACGGCGACCGGCTAGAGGTAACACGGTCCGCAGGGGTCCGGGGGCACTGCGGGGTTCTGGGCTGCTGGCGCAAAGGTCCTGAGGTAGGAATGCGCCTGAGTGACAGGGAGAAGCAGAAGGGTGGGGGCTCCAGCCAGTTTAGGGGAGAGGGTGGGGATGAGGAGCCTGGGCAGGACCCGTAGACCAGACCAGGAGCTGCGATATGTCTCCTGAATGCAAGGGGACGCCCCTGACCGGTGAGGCAGAGGGCCCCACCCCTGTTCACGTAGGGAAGGCGGCCCTGACTGCGACTAGCAGGGCAGGGTGTGTGCAGGGGCAGGTAGGAGGTGTGACAGTGTCCAGCCCGCCATCCCAAACCACAGGACCCCACTGTCTCAGCTCTGGGGTTTGAGGTCCTCATGCGGGCTACACGGTGGCTCCCACTGGATGCTCTGGGGGAGGTGCCCCCGCGGCTGCTCCCTCCGCTCCCCCTTCTCAGGACACAGTCCCGGACTCGGGACTCCTCCCCGCCCCCCAGCCGGATGATCTCCTCTTGGGATCCTTAAGTGTGCTTCCATCTGCAGCGCCCTTTTCCCAGATCAGCTCACGTTCTCAGGTTGGGGCGGAAGTAAATCTGGGGGAACACCGTTTGCCACACTTCAGGGGCTCTAAAAGAAACCCCGAGACCCCAGAGTAGTTGCTGTAGCTCCCAGGAGCACTGGGCTGAGCAGGGTGTAGGGCGAGAGTCGCACCGCGCCACGGCCTTCCCGCCCTGGCTGTGCTCCTCCAGGCACCGGTTAGGAAGCGCCTGTCGCGTGGGCCTTGTCTCCCCGCCCTGGGACGACACCCCCAGACCCGTCTCCCTGGTGCCAAGACGACACCCCCCGAGCCTGTCTCCCCACCAGCACGGTGTTCACTGGACGCTTGTCCTGTCGCATGCCCTCAGTGGAACAGTGGTGATCTGTGTCGCCCACAAGCTGGAAACCAAAGGCGTACCCTAGAGCAGCGCGTCCTGGTTTGCCCGCAGCACTCTTGCTTCTGGAAGCCATTTGACATCCCCGCGCCACTCAGACCTGGCGGCCCACGGAAACTTGGCTTTTTGCAGCTCCCCAAGGTGCCGCTCATGCAGCAGGGTCCTGAGTGCAGGGGTCACGAGACAGGGACATGCAGCTCTGGGGCCTGGAGCTGCCCTGACTACTCCTTCCCTGGGGGCAAGCGCACCTGCATGGCTTCAGCATCTGTCCCCCTCTGTTGGATTCCAGAACATTCCACCTCCCCCAGAACAGTCACTCCCCACCCCTCCCCCAACCTCTGGTGACCCGTATGTCGGCTGTGGACATGTCACATTGGCCCCACCCACGGTGGGTGCACCCCCTCCCGGGGGTCCATCCACAGGCCGGTGGTGTTTGCGCTCTGCGGCCCTGAACGACCCTGCAGAGACCCTCCCACTCTGTAGCTCCGTGGTTCTTTTTAAATTGGGGGACGTCTCGGGTCCCGCAAGGACCCACCCGGGGAGGTCTAGGCCGTGGGGAGGAGAGGTCGCCCAGGTGCAAAGAGGGACTGCGGAGCTCCTGGGGGACACGGCCTGGGCACGGGGACCAGCCCCGGGACAGAGGTGTGGCAGGGCGTGAGGAGCGGGCTGTGCCTCCAAGCACAGCGAGACACCAACGGGGACCCTGACTCCCATGGCGACCTCACCCGAGCCCTCCATGCAGGACCCCACTCCCTGACCTCACACCCTCCCTCTGGAATGAACTGGCCCCCACTCTGACCCCTGTACCACGGGATGTGACTGCGTGCGCAGGGGGACAGGTGACGTGCTGTCCCCCAGGCCGGCCCACAGGACTGAGTACCCACGGAGAGCAGAGCGGGA